GTGTTAAATTTTCTTCGCGCCTTGTTAAATTCTATCTATTTCTCTTTCAATTCATCTAATCAAATAAACCATATTCTTACAGGTATAAAAAAAACAATTTTTAATAAAAATAAATCTATATTTTATCTTTCAATAGATCATACTCGAACATCTGATCATTCAATACAGAATTTAAATAAACAGGTATGTCGTCAAAAGAGAAAACATAACTAATGTTAAGTGAATATTGATATGTAGAATATAGTATTGATATAGATGATATCGATGAAACATTCTTCTTTTCTAGATTACTTTTAGCTTTGCTTGTTTTGATTCCTTTAGTATCGTTATTGCCTGGCGGATAATGTCTTGCTTTTACATCAATTGATCGCTCTATCATCTAAATTGTTATTATGATTACTACATCTCTGTTCTTCTCATTGCTTTATCTTTCTCTTCCATTTTTATTTATCGCATATTACCGATACAATGTGCTCTGTACAAGAACAAGAACATCATCATCGACGACGACGACGACGACAGCCATATTAATATAAAAAAAAGAGAAAGAGAAAACGAGAGAATAGTTGGTGCCATCGAAGGACGTATGATCAATGTATTTATCGAGGAATCAATCTTCTCTCTCTCTCTCACTGCCATTTTTTTCCTCATGTCATTATCATCATTTTATTCTATCATACTTTTATGATTACAATTTCCAACTTCCATTATTATCTGTTCAAAAAACGATATGAGAATGCTGCAGGTAATCCGATCAGTTTTTTTTTAATATTCTTTTTGAAGAAAAAGAAACTAAGTCTGTTTTAATTCAATTATGAAACACGATATTTGTAGTAACTACGTGTCAAAAAAAAAAAGACAATTATTCTAATAGAAAAACGTTTGTATATCATTGATAATGTACAGATTCGAGGCATAGAACTTTTATTTTTCTCTTCTCACGATATATAAACAAGAAAAAGTAATATAGAAATGGTCAAAATATAATGTATGTGCGTATTACCACAAGGCATACAGCTGTAGTCAATAAACTATAAAAATGGACACATGCTAATCACCTTATATATGCATGTGTGTGTTTAGTTAGTTTGTTTTTTTTATCTTTATTGAGAAAACAGTGCCGATAGTGTCACGAATACCAAGTAAAATATAAACGAAATATCCGTTTACTGTCATCTTCTCTCTCGGTCGAGTATTGATCAACAAACTTGTCATCATTGGACAAAAACCCGATTTGTTTCCTCTTCTTATTCTAAATGAGTTAATACCTAATAGAATATATGCAAATCGTCTCTTTTTTTTTAAGAGAAATATAATTAATCATTTTGAATTTTTTCTGTCAAAGTTATAATACTAATTAATAATAAAAAAATAGAAAGACAAAAGCGTCAGCTCGGTATGGCATCAGCCGGTTCCGGTCTTTGATCCTTTTTTTTCCTATTCTTATACAAACAAAACTATGATCGGATCTTGGTATATTTACAAGGTATATTTCTATAAAAAATTATGAAATTAGATTTTATGTTATCTATGTATATAATTAACTAATTATTTTCTAAGGTGTTAACTCCAACCTCTACTAAACATCAAGAATTACTTGATAATCAACAAGCCGAAGACGAATATTATTATAGTGAAATGGCTGTATTTAATCGACAAAATGGAAATACGAGTGAAACACGATCAATTGGTGGTGGAAGTTTAACAGATGATGAATCAAATCTTTCAGATAAAATTCGTACAAATTTAATAATAAATTATTTACCACAAACAATGACACAAGATGAAATCAAAGATTTATTTGGTTCAATTGGTGCTATTGAATCTTGTAAACTTGTACGAGATAAAACAACAGGTCAAAGTCTTGGTTATGGTTTTGTTAATTTTATTCGTACAGAAGATGCTGATAAAGCTGTTAAAACAATGAATGGTCTTCGATTACAAAATAAAACAATAAAAGTAAATTTTTTTTTCAAAAAAAATTAAAATAAAGAAAGAAAAAAACATATACATCCAGATATCTTTTGCACGTCCATCATCGGAAACAATTAAATTTGCTAATTTATATATATGTGGTATTCCAAAACAGTGGACAACAAAAGAACTTGAAACTTATTTTACTTTATGTGGAAAAATAATAACAAGTCGAATATTAACAGATTCTAATACAGGTTTTTTGATGAGAAAAGAATAACTCTGCTGCTAATTATATCTATATATATATCATTTTATTGTGCTTATTTTATTTGAACTTTTTTTTCAGGTTTCTTTTGCTCGTCCCTCTTCTGAGTCAATCAAATTTTCCAATCTTTATATTTCAAATCTCCCACATATGATGACTCAGGAGGAACTTGAGAACATGTTTGCTGATTTTGGCTGTATTATTTCGTCGAAAATTCTCTGCAATCCGAAAGCAGGTAGACAATATATGAGATCTAAATTGCTTGTTTTCTCTTTCTTATATCATTATGTGTTAATTTTAAACGAAAAATTCCTTTTTTGTTTTTACTTTCAAGGCGCATCAAAAAGTGTAGGATTTATTCGTTTTGATCAACGATGCGAAGCTGAAATTGCTATTAATAAACTTAATGGTACTATTCCTAAAGGTAATATAATGAATTTCTTTAATATTAATGATGAGTAAATCTTCTAAGAAAAAAAATGAGACAATATTTAGTAGACTATCGGATTACCCATCACAAGGATGTTTTTATAATATTGGATATGATTTATGTTGATAATATATCGAAAGATGATATTTTTTTGATAATAAAAATGGATGAATTAAGTGCAGATGTATTGAATCTTCTTATATGCTAGATAATAATCGAAATTAACTGACAAATAATTTATTTAGAAAAAAATTTCAAACAAAAATAAACATTGTCTAGTATTTGATATAATTATACAAATATCATCTAAGAAATGCTGATCTATATTCATAATTTATATCTTCTTAGCCTTGATTTTATATAATTTCTAATATCTATTAAGGATTTTTAATTGTAGGTTTTACCGATCCAATAAATGTCAAATTTGCTAATACACCAAATGCTGCTAAATCTATGATTGGTCTACCATTAGCACCATCTTATTTACCTGGTATTCAAACACCACAACCAACTGTACTTACAACTGTACCACCTATTCGTCAACAATTAAACAGGTACAGGTATGCTGCTCAAAAGATCGTTGATTTTTTCGAAATTCTATATTTATATATGATTTCATGCTCTTATTATTTTTGCATAATATAAGTTTTTATGCATAGAGAAACACATGAACGATCCAAATATCGGTAAGTGTTGTCTTTTGTGGATTGTATTTATTAGCTTTTCTTTGAATTAAAATTCTATTTTATTAATAAAACTCTTTTTGCTACAATTAGATATTCTCCATTATCACCTGCTGATTTCTTTGCTGCAGCTTCTTATTTACCTGCTGCAGCAGCAGCCGCAGCGTCAGCTACAACATTATCACCATCAACTGGTAAATTGATTTTATAGACAATTCTATGAAAATATATTATTTTTAAGATATAGCATCTGTTGGTTGGTGTATATTTGTTTATAACTTAGCACCTGAAACTGAAGAGAGTATTTTATGGCAATTATTTGGTCCATTTGGTGCTGTACAAAATGTTAAAATAATTCGTGATTTTCAAACACAAAAATGTAAAGGCTTTGGTTTTGTAACAATGACTAATTATGATGAAGCTTTAATGGCAATTAATTCTCTTAATGGTTTTACACTTGGTAATCGTGTATTACAAGTATCATTTAAAACAAATAAACCAATGCCTATTCGTGCTTTCTAGTCCATTAAAAAATAGTTTTATTCTCTTTATTTGTGTGTGCTCAGTTTGTGTCTTTCTTCTTTCTTTATTGAACAAAAAACAATCTTCTAGAAAAAAAAAGAATAACAGTTCTATGCTGATGTGTATACATGAAAGAAAAAGAATATGATGTCGTCTTTTTTTCTCCTCGTCTGCATTGACGGTGGATTTATTGATGTTCTTATTGTTGTTGTTATGAAGATTTTTCTTTCCTCATTTTATACAGCTGTTCTTTTTCTTCTTCTTGCTGTGAAGAGAAAAGGGCAATTGCTCGTTGACGCTCGCGAAACAAGAGGAGAACAATTTGTGAACAGACAAAAAAAGAATCAATCTTTCTAACTTGATAATATATAATAATGTAAGTAGAAATTTCTTTTTTTACAACCTTGAACAATTTTTATAATGAACATCTGCTCAAATAACTTCCTTCTTTTTTTGCGCTCTTCTTTACAAGAAAATAATCTGAACCATCTGGCAGGCCAGCAAAATGTCTGCCATCTGCATATCATTATTCCCTTGACGATCAAGAGTTCTCTGGTTAACATACATTTCTACATCTGCACAGTTGCTATTTCTTCTTTTTCCTCTCGTTTTTTTTTATATATCCTAGGCCTTTTTTGCGCCAACTTACACAGTTTGAGAAAAAAATCAGCTGCAAGATCATATACAGACTGCTACTTGTTGTATCATTCTAAATGTAAGTAACAGATGGTGATTATTCTCATAGAAGAAGAAAAAAAGAAAATAAGGCATTTCATTCGATTACTTGTTGATGCTTTTAGCTGTTCAGAGAATTACTAACCATCTGGATTTATTTCTGTCGCCGCTTATGAGTTTTTTTCTGTCTATTCATTTTGAATTATATGTGACAAGAATCAGGTACGTGTATATATGTATGAGTTGTTAAACCTGAAAGATAAATCTAGGCAATCTGTTTATTGTCTTATTTTATAAATCGATCGCGACAATTTGATGTATGATTACAGGGTATACATTTGTATCTTATATATGAGGAAAATATTTCTTCGGACTTATAATATGAAGTGGAGACAGCTTGTTCATAGTAACAGCTGTTTATGATGAAGTAGTACAAGAGAAAAAGGCAGGGAAATATTTTATTTTACAGTTACATTTAAATTGATTTTTATTCACTTTAAGATTATCGATGCCGACTGATATCACTGAAAATACTACACTAGCTACACCTATGAGTACAACTACAGAAAATAATACGAATGAATCTTCATCATTAATAATACCAACAACAACAAGTAGTACACAATCACCTCCTTTATCTTCGTCTCTTCAAACAACAGTTCGACCAAATTCTCCAATACAAACATTATCCAAACAATTAGATAAACTACGACGTTTTCTTAGTACATTATATCATTTTGGTTCGGATATTTCAAATGAAATTGGTGAACGTGTTCGAACATTAATATTAGCATTAGTTGTAAGTTTTTCGATTCATTTTTTAAACGAAAATAAGTTTCATATTTTTTAGAATAATGCTTTATCTGTGGAAGAATTTCATGGAAAATTACAAGCAGCAACAAATTTTCCATTAAGACCATTTGCGTTACCATTTCTAAAAGTAATTCTTACAAAAGAAAAATATTTAATCGAATAAATGTTTTTTAGTCAACATTACCTCTTTTACAAAAAGAACTTTCACAAATAGCTCGTCAATCAAAACAAACAATAAGTCAATTTATTGTTCAACATGAAGATTTAATATTGCTATCACGAGAGACACTTGAAAATGATGTAACACAACCAAAAGAGCAATTAAATGAAAATGGAAAGAGAAAATTAGCTGACGACAGTTCAAATGAACTTGATGAACGACCTTATGCAACAAAACGTTCAACAATTAATCATCGTACATATACAAATCCAATACGACGAGATAAAGATCGTACATTTAGTTCTTGTAAATATCAAAAATTATAATTTTTATTTTCCTCTAAAAAATATATTATTTATTACAGATCTACGTGAATATACAGCGGATTATAAAGATATAGATGATGATTGGAAGAATGCTGAAAATGTTTGTAAAAAAATTTTTTTTTCTTCATAAATCAATAAATTATTATTTAAATGTAGATGCTTAATTATATATTGGAAATGGTAACAAAAAGTAAACGAGTTTTATTTATGTTACAACAAAAAGATATTCATCTTCGTCGTCTTATTGAAACAAATGAACTTGAATGGAGGCGAAGACATGCTGAATTATTAACACAAACAGATGATCGTATTGCTGAAGTTCGTCGAAAAGCAGGTATAATAATAAGAGAAAGAAAATATGTCATATTTATTTATTGTTTTATTTTTTAGAAGAAACAGTTTTAGAAATCAAGCGTCAATCGATAATTGATTTACAAAAAGCAGTTACACAAAGTGAACAAAAATCGAATGATATTTTACTTCGTGAACGTGAACAATATCAACGATTGAAAGCACAAACATTTGAAGAAGCATATGCAATACTTAATAGACAAGAAGATGGACCAGAAGTATGAAGTTATTTTCATAAAAATAAAATTGAAATATTTTATTTAGCATTGTTGGCATTGTGCTCGAAAAGCAATTGAAACATGTTCTGGTTGTAATATAGCACGTTATTGTGGACAATATTGTCAACATCGTGATTGGGAAGCACATCAAAGATTATGTGGACCAGATTTAAAACGAAAATTACATGATAATCCACAAATATATCGTCATTCAATAGCAAAACCAATATCTATAAATCAACATAAAGATGATTCATTAATACCAACTACTCAAAATGTATCATTTCCACCAAAAACAAATAATGACAATGATAAATCCGAATTCGAAACTGTGGTTAAAACTGAAAGTAGTTGAAATTTAAGATAAATACTTCATTTTTGTTTTGTTGTACAATGTATTTGTATGTGAGTGTGTTTTTGTGAATGATATAGAAATATCAATAATAATATAGAGCTTTATTATATTAAATGTTAGTAGGTTTATAATTTGAGCGGGATCATATAAGATTTCGTCTGAAGGATACAGTAAGACCCCTACTAGTGAACATTTTTTTACAGTTTAATAACCTTTCTAACGCGATGTTTTTTTACTTCCTTTTCCCTCATTGTCACGTTTCTATCACATGTTGTACATGTAAACAATGACAACAAAACGCGACAAAGTGTACGTGATGTGGTATAAAGGAAATAAGATAGATATTAACATTCAATTCAAAAACTGCTCGAAATCATTATTATCTGGAGAAGTTTTACACAGGTTCGTTCTATATACTGATAATTTTCTTTATTAGATATTTTAAAAGAATACATTTAATATTAAAAACTATTTTTGTATCAATATCTCTTTTTATGCTTAAAATAATTTTATTGATGAACTCAATTGCTTACTGTGATAAGAAACTGTACAACAAATCTAGATGACGCCATTAGTCGATTAATAAATATATGAACGGAATTATATTACAATTTCATATCTAACTATACTCCATTTGTTTTTTCATTTAATATATCTACCAAACCCAATTGAAAAGTTATCTGTATAGGCAGTATTATAAGTAATTGATGAAGTAACATGATCCAATCATGAGTTTTGACATTTACAAATGAATGTCAATCAACCGAACCGAACCATATTTTATCAATAAAGAAATATGTTTATTATTTTTCTACAAAATGTGTCAATATGACCTGCAGCTAAAACAAGAAAGTTTTTAATTCAACTAATATAAATTAATTTCATAAAGTTTTACGTGCAATGAATATTTCATATTGTAAATATTTAATTAATCGATCTATATCTTCTATTATTAATCATAAAGTGAAAGAGGTTTTTTCTTCAATCATTAGATTATTTTGAGAAATAGAATAATTTAAGTTTTTTTAGCCTCAATTTGGTCTACTTTTTGATGTTGATGGTGTATTAACACGTGGAAGAAAATTGTTACCATATACACGTGAAGCATTTCGTAAATTAGTTAATTCAACAGGAGAATTTCGTATTCCAACTGTTTTTGTTACTAATGCTAGTAATGAATTACATACATCAAAAGCAGCTAAACTTACTCAAATACTTGAAATACCAGTAAAATATTTCACTGGTTTGATCAAAATGAATATTTATATGTCGTTTGTTTTTCTTATTTAGATTTTACCTGAACAAGTTATTTTAGCACATAGTCCATTGAAAATGTATACTGAATTTCATAAAAAACATTGTTTAATTAGTGGACAGGGACCTATAGCTGATATAGCAAAAAATTTAGGTTTTACAAAAGTAACAACAATTGAACAATTATGTGATGCTTTTCCAAATTTAGATATGGTAGATCATAGAAAAAGACGAGGATTCGTATGAAAATGAAATATAATTGACTAATTTTCTTAAGAGGATATTAAAATTTTAGCATTCACCATTTCGAGATTACTTTTTACCAATTGAAGCTGTTGTTCTGTTTGGTGAACCTGTCAGATGGGAAACTTGTTTGCAGTTAATAATTGATGTTTTAATGACTAATGGAAATCCATCATCACCTATTATTCGACCACCTATTACACATTTACCTATTCTAGCTACTAATCCAGATCTTTTATGGATGGATGAAGCAGCATTGCCAAGGTAATTACATAGGATGACTATCATTTTGTTTAAATATAGGACATTAAAGATTCTTCTACGTGACCTATCATACTATTTAAAGAGAAAAAGCGTACCGAAACCTTTTTTTTTTGTATATGAATTTAAATTGTTTCCAATTAGATTCAGTCATGGGTCGTTTATGCATTGTTTGGAAAGTTTATATCATGTAAGAATTATTTAATCATTTGTTAGTAATAAAAAAATAAGAGAATATTTATTTAAATCAAGAAAATCTCTGGATATCCTTTACAATATACAACAATTGTTGGTAAACCAAGTGAGATCACATTTTATCATGCTGAATATCTTATATCTCATCATGCACATGAAATGGGTCTTAAACAACCAATAAAACGTCTTTATGCAATTGGTGTAAGTTTCGTTTTATATTTAATTTCTTTTTTTCCAAAATTATCATTTATATGTTTAAGGATAATCCAAATACAGATGTCTATGGTGCTAATGTATATAATCGTTATTTACAAAGTCGATCTTTATCAAGATTAAATCAAGTTGTTTCACACACAGCAACTACTACTTTATCAAGTGATTCAAGAAAGATTATCGATAATGCTCAACATTATTATTCAGCTGAAAGCTTAGAATCAATACTTGTTTGTACAGGTGTTTATAATCGTGAAACATATGATGAAACATCAGGAGAAAATCATGGACATCGTGATATGATTCTTGATTTAAAACTTAGAAAAGCTAAACATATATGTGAACATGTTTTAGATGCTATTCAACTTATTTTTAATATAGAACAATTCCATTAGTAAAACTAAATGAAAAAAAACAAAATTCCAATTAAATTTTAGTAATTAAGTAACGTTTTTTTATATTAATAAGTTTCGTTAGAACGTAAATTATTATTATTTTATTTTTTTTAATAATTAGTTTAAATCAGATAAGTTTTATACTTTAATATTAAATATGTTTGTTTTCTATTAATAAATGTATTTTATCGGTTGATTTCTCAAACTAATTTACTAATCACGAAGAACAGACTATAGTTTTCTAAAATTAACTATTTTTTGTCTTTCGTATGCATCGATCGAAGTACTTTTCTATCTAATCAGTAAAAATGAATATGTTACTGTTGTTATAATTTTTTATATCTACAAGTATTTATGCATGAATCAATCTAATTTGGTATGAGACGAAGCCGAAATACTATTCTTGGTCTCTTATCATCAGTAGGCCTGTAACAATTCTATATCAATTCTCACCTCAGGAACTATAAAGAAGCTCTTGCGGTTGTACGTATGAATAGAAAGGTTTACATTCACACTCACACCTATAATGCTGCCCACACACTTCAGATGGTTATCATTGGCGAAGCAGCCCGTTCTGTGAATGCCAGAATAACCTATGGTTTTGGAGAGAAGAGCCATTTTTTCTGAAATTCAGTGAAACAAAAAAGATCATAGACTTTATATTTGATCATAGAAATACAAGAATACAAGTGTTTTGTGTTTGAATAGCTTTATTTTATCAGTTTTTACAAATTATAATGTATGTAAAAAGAAAACTATGTAATGTATGAGATAAGAGAACCATATAATATATGCGATAATAAAATTATTTCCAACTTTCAAGTCTTTAATAACATTAAATATCAGAGCAGAGCGAAAAAAATTCTTGTAGATTCTTTTTATCTTCATCAAAATACGTAGTAAAATTTCTTTTTGCGGATTATTTCAGTGACTGACAATCGTAAGAATCCTTAACCACTCGTTTTTCGTTCTTTGTTTATTACTATAAAATATCTGTGTTGATCTTCGTTGTTTTCCATAACAACATCTACAATGATTAACGAAAAAAAGATTATCGTCCAATTCAAAAAAATAGAAAAACAAATGTTGATAGAAAGTAGAGGCAACTATTAAATGAGCTACTTTCGTAATTCTTTCATTCGCAAATCTTAGCCAAACAAGTCAAAAAACAAAACATTCGTATTAAAAGTAATGAGAAATAAGAACTCAACAGCTGCTACCACATTCAGTAATGCAAAACATGCTGAATCAGTATCTGGTTTCTCCACGAGTGCAACTGTAAATCGACGTATGAATATGCAAAGAATGCAAAATGTCCTTCTTGTTTGGTTGGACAACAATATTAATGATAGCAATGCTGATTGTAGTAATACAGTCAAACAATTAAAACGTGTAGTCAACAACGTAAACACGTTTACTGATGGTAAACAATGTGTTGAATTTATCCAAACCATTAGCAACAACAAAGTATGTATGATTGTTTCTGGTTCACTTGGAAAACATATTGTGCCTCACGTACATCATATGTCCCAGGTAGACACGATTTTTATTTTTTGCAGTAATCGTGAATGGCATAAACAATGGGCCAAAGAATGGCCTAAAATAAAAGGAGTCTTCACAGATATTACACCAATCTGTGAAGCTCTCAAGCAAACTGCTCGCCAATGTGAGCAAAATGCCATTTCGATTAGTTTTGTAGCATCAAACAAAAAGTTGGACCAATTAGATCCATCCTTTATGTATACTCAGATCTTGAAAGAGATTTTATTAACTATCAACTTCGAAAATACACATATTAAAGAATTTATTACTTATTGTCGCGAAACATTTGTCAAAAATGACATTGATTTATGTAAAATTGAAGCACTGGAACGTGACTATCGTGATCAAAGACCTGTTTGGTGGTATACTTCTGAATATTTTTTATATTCGATGCTCAATCAAACATTAAGATTAATGGATGTTGATATTATTGTTCGTATGGGTTTCTTTATTAATGATCTACATCGTGATATTCAACGACTCCATTCGGAACAATTTCATGGTCAACAGTCTGGTAAAACATTTACAGTTTATCGTGGGCAATGTCTTTCGAAAGAAGATTTCACCGAAATGACAAAAACTAAAGGTGGACTTCTTTCATTTAATAACTTTTTATCCACTAGTAAAAATCGTGATGTTTCTCTGTGTTTCGCATCACAACCTGCTACAAATTCTGATCTTGTTGGAATTTTATTTGTTATATTAATTAATCCAGCTGATTCAACAACTCCATTTGCTTCTGTTAGTAATGTTAGTTATTTTCATACGGAAGATGAAGTTCTCTTCTCTATGCATACCGTTTTTCGTATCGGAGATATTCACCCAGTGAATAGAAATAACTATCTCTATCAAGTGAATTTAACATTGACTAATGACAACGATAAAGATCTTCGTATTCTTACTGATCAAATACGACAAGAGACCTTTCCAGATTCGAAGGGATGGTACAGATTAGGATTATTACTAATTAAAATGGGTCAATTTACCAAAGCTCAAGAAATTTATCAAGTTTTGCTTCATCAAACAACAAACGAGAATAACAAGGCACCAATTTATTATCAACTAGGTTGGATCAAATATAATCAAGGAGAATATCAAGAAGCACTTTCATCTCATGAAAAAGCTCTTAAAATTCGACAACAATCACTTCCTTCGAATCATCTTGATTTGGCAGATTCTTATAACAGAATCGGTAGCGTGCACTACAGCATGGGTGATTATTCCAAAGCACTTTCTTATTATAAAAAAGCTCTTGCAATTCGACAACAATCACTTCCTTTCAATCATCCTGATTTGGGTGCTTCCTATAATAACATCGGTTTGGTGCATTCCAACATGGGTGATTACCCGAAAGCACTTTCATCTCATGAAAAAGCCCTTAAAATTCGACAACAAACACTTCCTTCCAATCATCCTGATTTGGGTGCTTCCTATAACAGCATTGGTTCGGTGTATAAGAAGGTGGGCAACTATTCAAAAGCTCATTCATTTTATGAACGTGCTGTACAAATTGGGCAACAAACATTACCGTCGAATCATCCCACTTTTCATCAATGGAGAGAAAATCTCGAACGCATAAAAAAGGAATTGTACTTGGATTGTATATTTTAGAAAATAAAATAAAACTTATGAAAAAGAAAATGCGTTCATTGAAACTCTGTTATTGTTTAGAAATCAATACGAGCAGTAACACTCGCCGATGGGCTAAACAATACATATTGAGTAGGTATGCATTGTAGAAAAGACCTTCAGGTATGTTATTGTCAGAACACACAGAGTTTCGCTGTTAGGTAAGAAAGAAAGATACTGAATAGAAACATAGAAGAGTAGGGTGTGGGTGTAGGTCAAAAGAACAGATCTCCACACCCACACCCATCCTGTTCTACAGAAAATCGTTCAGTTCGAGATTGAATTAAAAAAAATAAGTTCACTTTTTGTATTTTGATCAAAGTTAGTAGCTTGTACCAAGGATTTTCAACTTTATTCATGGAAACAAAAAGTCGGTCTAGTCACCTACGGTTTTAAAAAAGTAAGTTGAATCAATATTCAAGTTGGACGAAATCAAAAATTGAATAAAATAATTTGGCGTTTTTTTCAAGTTAATGTCAACAAAATGACGATAGTTACGTTTCTATTCAAATGTCGTGAAAGAGCAGAAAGTCGCTACTTATTAAATGTTTGTTAGTTTATTCTTTAAAAAAACCATTTATATCGCAACACATAAAAAACCAGAGAGGAAAGTAGAACAAGAACAACATTTTATCGAACATTATCGATTCAAGATCTTTCAGAAGGGTGTGGGTGACACATAGTACATTCACACCCTACAGAGAGAGAACCTCAGGATCAAAATATCAATGTAAATTCTGAATCAAATAAAATAATGAAAAGAAATTCTTCGAACGCATATTTTACATTAAGTAATAAGAAATCTTATAAGCAATAAAAATGTATTTATTTTTCTGAATTTTTAGCATAAAAAATTATTAATGTTTTAGAAGAATATGAAAACCATTATACAGATTTTGGATCATCGGGAAATCTCTCTGTCATCCTTTCAACACACTCTTCACTTTGCTATAATTTCCTCATTATTTGTGAACAAAGTTCTTCGAGTTGTATTAATTTTTGTTCAAATTCTGCTTTGACAGCACGCTAAAAGAGAACATATAGAAAAAAAGATAAAAATAATATTGCTTTTACCTGATTGATTTCCAGCCACTCTATTGTTTCTTCAATAGTACCAATCATTTTCTTCTTGTTATGAATATCAATTTCACTTGTTAGTTTTTTATCATTTATTATTTCTTTTAGATTAAAACAATATGATTCCAGTGAATTTTTCGCTGATATACGTTCAGATTGTGTTTTATCCTCTCTTTTTAATTTTTTAGCAACAGTAATCATATATTCAATTTCATCTTTAGAAAGTCGAGTTTTATCATTTGTAATTGTAATTTTACTTTCACGACCACTTGATTTATCTAAAGCTGAGACATTTAAGATACCATTAGGATCAATATCAAATGTAACTTCAGTTTGTGCTACACCACGTGGAGCTGATGGCATACCAGAAAGTGTGAAACTACCAAGTAAATGATTATCTTTTGCCATTGTATGGTCACCTTCATAGACTTTAATAACAATATCAGATTGATTATCCCAATCTGTTGTAATTTGTTGAGTTTGTCTTGTTGGAGTGGTTGTATTACGCTTAATTAATGCTCTCATACCACCACCAGTTGTTTCAATACCCTGTAAAATAGAGCACAAAAAAAACAAATACAAATGACAAACACATTTAGACTCTTTACCAATGAAAATGGTGCAGCATCAAGTAAAAATACATCTTTAACTTCTTCTGATTTATCACCAGTTAAAACACCTGCATAAATAGCCGCGCCACAAGCAACAGCTTCATCTGGATTGATAGATCTGTTTAATTCTTTTCCATTGAAGAAATCTTGTAGAAGTTTTTGTATTTTTGGAATATGTGTAGAACCACCGACGAGTACAATTTCATGAATACTTGCTTTATCCATCTTAACATCACGTAGAGCCTTTTCAACTGGTTCAAGTGTTGAACGGAAAAGATCAGCACAAAGTTCTTCGAAACAAGCACGTGTTATTGCTGTATAGAAATCAATACCTTCATGAAGGGTATCAATTTCAATTGAAGCTCGCGATGATGATGATAATGTACGCTATTTTCAGAAGAAAAATAAATTAATAAATTCAATTTTCAAATGTTTAGTTAACTTACTTTAGCACGTTCACAAGCTGTACGTAAACGACAAAGATCACGTTTATTTTGTGATAAATCTTTGTTATTTATTCGTTTAAATTCTTTAACAAAATGTGCTACCATTCGATTATCGAAATCTTCACCACCCAAATGTGTATCACCAGCTACTGATTTGACTTCGATTATTCCTTGTTCTGTTTTAAGTATTGATACATCAGTATTACCACTACCCAAATCAAAAACAAGAATATTTCTTTCATCAGACACGTTCTTATCTATATTATAAGCAATAGCAGCAGCCGTTGGTTCACCTATAATACGTAATACACTAAGACCAGCAATATTACCAGCATCTTTTATTGCTTGCCGTTGTGACAAATTGTAAAAAACTGGAACAGTTACAACAGCTTCGGAGATTTTTTTACCAAGATAAGCTTCAGCAATTTCTTTCATTTTTGTTAATGTCATTGCCAATAATTCTTCAGGCCTGAATAATTTTATTTCATTTTTATATTCAGCTAGAATCTTTATTTTACCAACATCATTAATTACTCTAAATGGCCAGTATTTCATATCAGCTTGAACTGTTGCATCGTCAAATTTACGACCAATAAGTCGTTTAACATCAAAAATTGTATTATTTGGATTCATAGCTACTTGAGTTTTCGCTGCACTACCAATTAAACGTCCATCATCGGTGAATGCAATATATGATGGTGTTGTTCGATCACCTTGTTCATTAGGAATGACTATTGCTTTACCATTTTGAAATACAGTAACACATGAATATGCTGTACCTAAATCAATACCTATTGCTCTAGCCATTAAAAACCGTTCTGAAAGTAAGTTTTCTAATTTTTAGTTATGTTTTTTTATTTGGTGGTGCTTAGGCGAATAATTTTGTTTTGTTAAAGAACGAAAATTGTCTGAAATTATACGTCTCGATTTGAAGTGTCGTCAATAAAAAAAGTAAAATATATATTGTGCGTTTTGATGAACAGATGAATCAAAAAATTGACATATGAGAAAAATATGACTGAAAAAAGACAAAAAACAGTGCGGAATAAAATTTAGAAAAAGAGAAAGAGGAAATGAAAGGAATCTATTGATTGAACAAAGAAAAAGTCTTTCATCTCGTTATGCGAGTGCTGACGTGGGTATGAGAATGGTATTCTAGTCATTAAACAACCTCATCTACATTCTCACTTTGGCACATGTAAACGACTGCCTACTTACTCATAATAGAAACAAATCGATTCTTTAAAAAACTCTACTTTTAAGACTCTGTTAGTCTTTTGATAAAAAGAGTTCTTTTCGTGTTGTTTGGTTTCTACATCATTATTCTTTATTACGTCTAAATACAAAATACATGTTTTTAAATATTTAGACAACTGTCTGCGTACTAGATAAGAATTGAAAATGGTAGATGAATGTCGGTAGATGAAGAAGAAAAGCACGCATACCCACATGCACACAAACGAGTTTTCTCTACTTTATTTCATTCAAATAGCGTACATTTTTTTTAAAAAACCTTACCAATTGGGCGAGTGTGAATGTAGATGAGGGCGTCTATTCTCGATCCACGGCCACCCATACACACGTCATCTTTCTCGCACGAATTTTCTATATCGTCGAAGATAGAACTGAGTTTTGTGAAATTTCCAACATAACTCCACAAATAAAAAATCCTCGATTCGTCATTAGTTAACATATGAGATATGCACTAAAACAGAAAAAGATAAAGCAACGGCTGACTAATAAAAAAAACTGACTTTAACAAAAAGGTAGATACCAGCAGGAAAGATAATAGAAGACTTGTCATTCTTTTTCTGTCATCTCTACGTTTTCTTTGAGAAAAAAGTAAAACATTATTTAATTTTCTTAAATCCAGATATATTTTTAGACCAAGTTATGATTCAGGCTTCTGTCAATCAGTCGCTTACAATAGAGAGGTTGGGTCTGGGTCCCTGTTCTTCAACCAATCACACGTTCATCCACACCCTACACCCTCTCTTGATGAACGCATAGTACTTTTTTTGATATTAACAAAGAGTGAATACTTGGTTTTCCATTAATCTTTTTAAAAAACTTTAAAGTAAACCTCTTAGAATTATTGTTTTGTAATATGATTATTATCTATTTTAATACTACCAGAAGAGACGTTATTAGAAAAGTTTATCATATGAGAAAGTAAAATGAAATGAAGTTTTATTCAGAAAAAGAATGAAACACAAAAAAAGAAAAAAGTAAATGTTTAAAAAAGCAAATAATACAAAGACAAGCCATTCCATGGCTTGAATATTGAATAAAAACATTGATCAAAGTGTTCAAAAAAAAACAAATTCTTAATAGCATGATCAAAAACTTATGCGTTGTTTATCCTTTAACTTTGAACTGAAACGAAATAATCAAAATATATTCATGTTATATATATATGTACTATTTGCTATTCATATAATTTTACCTTCTTATCCTGTGTTGAAATCGGACTAATATATTGAATATCAGGACGTCGTTGATGTTCTTTATCGTTAGGTTCTTGAGTCCATAAAGTTATAGCAAAACGAAGATCATTCAAATGAAAATCATTTTTCAGTTTATCGTGTGCTCTGTGTTTTGTGTCCTGTATTTGTACATCTAAAAAGCAATAGATTTATGCAGAAATTTCATCAACTTTTCTCACATACTTGAGCTCAATGACGGAAATACTTTCAATGGTTGTTTTTTCACTAATTCAGCGTTTGTAAGCATTATTACAACTAACTTTAACCTAAATATAATTATAAAATACAAACAAATCTCAAATGATTTAAAACATACTTCAGTTTTTGTAATTCGTCTGTATATTTTGTCAATGGATACGTTTTATCATCTTCAAGTTTAATAAACATTGGATTACAAGGATCACCGTATAAACCATCGTAGTATGGATAAAAATCAAATAATGGATTGAAATAAATACATCCATTGATAGTTCGTGTTACTAAAGCGATTTCTATCCATACATGCCTAAGATCAGCAAATAAATGCATTGTTGGAATCTATAATATATATAAACATATATTCTATCAAGTATGCTTCTTATAATAGAAACAAACCAATAAATTCAAATAATGTTGATTATTACAATCGGGAAAATAGGAAGGGTTTCTTAGTTTTGCTTTTGTACCATCACGCTTCGTTTCACTCTTTGGCACGTAATCACTTAATACACGGGCACGAAATTCTTTTATAAGGTCAGTTTCAAGTCTCATTTGTTCACGACAAGCAGGAACACTTGTATTCGTTGATAAAGTAGGTGACAAATCTTCCATCTGTTGTTGTTCTTCCATTAATTTTCTAATGGTAGCTAGAAGATTTTATACGACTCATAAAGAAAAGTTCTTGTCAAAACTAAACATACCTATTTGCAACAATGTATCAATATTCCCTGATATATCATTTCTTTTATCTAAAAAGATATATGATTATTTAATAAAATATATTTATAAATAAATTCCAATAAACATACGAAATGTTGACATTTGATTAGTTGAAGGAACAGGACGAGAAGATGTGAATGACCAAATGTTGTCTATTAAACAAAATAAATAAATTTAAGATAGATTTAATTTGACCATATTTTAATTTTTAACTATAAAATTCTCGAATAGAATACAAATTTGATTTTTTAGATAAATTTATATTTACTAAACAGATCTTATTAAAATATAATATGATTTACTTTCAGTCATATTGAAAGTAATGACTCTATATTGATTCTATAATAAGTTATTAAGTAATCTGTGCCTATACACATTTCATTAAAGGACTTTAGAAGTCAAAATTATCTCAATGAAATTTAAAACTGACAGGAGAAATTATAGAAGCTTTGTATGAGATTAAAAATTTAGTTTTAAATTTTTTCTCGATCGAAATTCATGTTTCTCAATTACTATGAAAATCAGAAATTTCATTAGTTATTTCTGATCTTATATCTAAACATGAACTATAATATGTAAATCGATTTGACAAACCATTACTTGTGTTCGATGTTGATTTCTTTGTTTTGTTAATAATTATTGAATTCTCGTTGTCTTCTGTTAATATATCAGTTAAAACTAACATTTAGAGAAAGAAAAATATTTTTTACCTGGTGCTTTACGTTTCTTCATATTTTGCTCCTTTGATTTATTTTTAATAAAAGTATCGTTAATCATTCCAGACAGATCATCGGATTCATCTAAAATTGATAAATAAATTTGATAAAATTAATATCTATGAGGAAATAAATAACTGACTTTCAATATGAAGTGGTGAATCCATTGCATGGTTATCTTTTTCGCTGTCAAAATTAACATATCCCCAATCTATAAATGAAGAAATATCGATTTATATTATTTCTCATGTTATATTCTTACATTTAAGTTTATTTTGAATAAATTCACGAAGAAGATTCTTCACTGTATCATCATATTTAAAATTAATTTTTTCTTCTTCATCATTAATTTTGTTATGTAAATATAAAGGCATATAGATATCACTTGCTTCATCATAAAGTATAATAATACATTTCTTGTATGATGAAATATCTTTAACATAAATATCAATACAAGGTGCATTGTTATTCATGTTTGGTTTTGAAATGATACAAAATAAGGTATCAGGATACAAATAACTTAAACCATTCCGTTCTGGTTCTCTCCCAGAGATAATTCCTTCTTCGACTTTACGACAATAATCTTCACGATTTTGATAATCCAAGCTTGGCGGTACATGAATACCATCGGTATCAGTGTGACTTCGAATAACATCAGCTACGTTTTTTCGTAAACATTTAACATTAATCATTTTCGATCGATCAAATAGAAAGGTAGAAGCTGCATAAAAAGTTTGATCATTACCAGGATGTTCACCAGTACGAAATTCATGTGTTTCACAAGGTGCAACATTTCGTATTTCTGATAATATGTCGTATACTGAAATAAAAATTAGATTATATTTGTTTACAAAACAATAAATTTTCATATAGAATCAAATAGCATAAAAGTCTATTAAGAAACTTACTGAAAATGTATCGAGTGAAATATTTAGATAAACTAAATTAGATTTATTGGATATAAGATTAAATTAATGTGAACCTTCATGTAACTATGAGTCTATATGAATAGGTATCAAACTGAGTTTTATTAACAGATGATTTTCAAAAAAGACGTACGAAATGAATTGGTGGATAGTTATAAATATATTCAGTGGAATGGATATATTTCTAAATATTCAAACCATTTGCATTCATTCTGGTTCTTATATTTATTTCAATTTATAACATTCAAACTTGTATTAACTATTTTTCTCTCGATCATATTGAAAATGAGAGAGATTTTAGTCTTTATCTTTATATTTTTATTCTTCCTTTATGACGTGTATAGTTAAAAGATGATTGATACGATTTTAGAGTTGCTTTAGTTTCTGTAGAGTACCTATTTATTAGAATAACTAAAAAGAACTAATTAAATATGGCATGTTTTAAAAATGAAACTCGAACTGAAATGGAAAAAAAGTAATCCACATGATTTCTACTTATAGATCTCTTGTTATTTTTATCTTGTATTCGAAAGGAAATGAATGACATATTTTTACTTACAATCGATCTCATTTTTCACGAAGTCAGGCAAAAGAATATCTACGCAGGTATCATGAAGATCGAAAATAGTTCTTTTATCTTGTAAATTTTCTTTGTTATATAGATATAATGGCACATAATGGAGTTTTGCATTGTCAAAAATAATGTAAATACAATTGGTACATGATTTATCATCTTCACCGTGATTTATCGGATTTACTGGTAAATTTTGTTGCTGATCTCTTCTCAAATTAACAACTTTAATGATTATATGATACATTCGGGATAAAGCTACAAGTTCAGATTCACCACCCCAAGCTCCACTTCTAATTTTATCACAATATTGTTGACGATTTTGACAATCGGCACCAAATTGCAGTTTGCTGTCATCAATATCCATTTGTAAAATATAATGAGCCACTAGGTTACGTAAATCTTGTGCGGTCAACCATAATAATGACATTGCATAGAGAAAAGACCAATATAAGCATGAACCATCACCAGGAACCTCTTTACGATCGAGAGCGTACATTGTTTCAGATATATTGTTTGTCACATTTGATGAAATTGGATTATCTATAATGAAAACACATAATCAAAATGAAAATTAAAGACTCGTGATTCTTTGAAATGAGCAAAGATTGTGCATAATTTACTTACTTTATCTAGAAAATAGGAAAAGCTGATAATTCTAGTTTAGATTTAGTGACAAACCAATGATACTAATCGTATAAATTTCATAGCAATAAGATAAAGAAAATTTTTGAAGTGTTCCTATTAAGATTATTGAAAGTAATTTCAACTATTTCTTACCTTTGACAAAATCTAAAGGTCTGAAAGGTCCATTTGCTCACCAAAATCATTCTTATAATCTTTAATATACAATGAAACAATTTGAAATAAATATACTATACGTTGGTATACGGAACGTTCTATAGCGTTATATGTTCATTCAATATCAAAAAAACTTATTTTAATGATAGAGACCGACATTCAGATTATTAATCGAAAGTTTTCAATAGATAGGCTATCAGTTGATACGAAATGTTTTTCGAAGCGTCTCATAGTTCAAGAAGAACCAAGTTATAATCGCTCACACACTCAAAAGATGAGAAAGAGTTAAGGTACAATATTATACTATTATGAAATCGTATTAGTAATATAGAATACACTTTTATTTGTATTACTTGTTGTCATTGTGGTAACAGACGTTGTTGAATAGTCGTCATCATCTATTATACATTAGGATAAAGTAATCTAATAAAAAGAATAGTAAAATTGTTTTACCTGTTATTCCCTGCTCTGTGGATGTATTCACTTCAGTATCCATATCGATAATATTAGATGAATCACCACACTCAACTAAAAGATGTATTATAAAATACAAGATTTTAATTTAAATATTTAATATACATTGTTTTTGGTGTAATCGTTCATGAGGACAAAAATTTGGATCATCGATTAAATCAAATTCATGAGTTTCTGCGGTTATATTGGAGGCCATTGTTATAGAACATCTATGGTGAATGTAAGAGAAGAAAAGAAAAGAATTGTATATGGGGTATATAGAACATGTGATTAGGTATATATAGTCAAATAAAAAGAAAAAACCAAGTATTAATTGAAAGAGAACACGCCCTCGATATAGCTTAAATATAGACTGACGTCATGTACACTTTATACAATCAGAGAAACACGAAGTATCTATTGGCTTTATTGATTCTGATTAATCGACAAATACAAATCAAAATTGGCTTTGAACAATAAAAAGATTTTCAATAATAAATTATTTTATTGTTGTATTTTTCATGAATAATACTATTTATATGTTCTATCCATTATTATTTTTGCGCTACTATGATATTTTTTAAATTATATGAAAAAATAAAACAAAAATCTATTCACCAATGGATATATTTAAAAGAAAGACATTTACAGAGATAATATGAAATAGATTTTTATTGGCAAGAAAAAAAGCTTACGTTTGTTTTTATTTCACATCAATATGTTGCATTTTCAAAAATGTTAAGAAGAATCGAATGATGTTTTTGTTGACTTTAACTAAGATAAATTTTGGAACAAAAATAAAGAAATGATGCAATACTTGTGTACTGGAGCGGAGTTATACATTGGTAGAAATAAGTGTACTTTTTGATTGAATATGTATAAGATTATCAGTATAAAAAAAAGATATTACTCATTCCAATTAGTCATCGTCACAATTTTCTCTTTCTCTTCTTTGGATCGTTACTTTGTCATAGTAGAGTAAATGTAAGTTTAGTTATACTTTCAGATATATATGTAAAGAAGAAAGCAAATTAAAAAAAAACTAATTATAGATGCCTTCTTAACGACAGAAGAATGTATTTCTTTATTAGACCAGTATAATTCACAAAACACAAAGTACAATCTGCATTTTTAATAACATAAACACTTTTATAAATATATAGTGGTGTGCAAAACTATAGAATCAATATCTTAGTTTGACCGTTTTCGCATGAGTGCCACTTTAGTTTTCCTTGAAAGTCATTTACATAGAGAAAGACATCTCTACTAAACATTTTCATTACAAAGTTTGAAAAATCGTTCACATTTTAATTCAAAAATGAGATTTTATCGAATGTGTGGGTGTGGGTATTGTCATCATTTTAAACTTACACCCTTATCTACACCCACACCCTCAAATTAAACATTACTAATCTATTTAGGATTTTTTTATCAGTTGATACGAATAATTCGATGTAAATTATGAACTTAATATAGCGTCTTACATATTCTTATCTTAGTTTCTATTTAATAACATTCGTAGTGTATGACATGTATGTATCTTGATAGTTTCCAAGATTATTTTTCATATGAATACATGATGTGACCTTATCATCTGTTAGAAGTTATTATTTCTTTCACTTTTTATTGTTGATCACATGTTACATATTTTCTCATCATTATTATCAGAAATTGTTCATTAAAAGATGAAATTAAACATTGTCTTTTTTCCATTTAAAGAATATTCTCTTTGATGTACAAGTGAACGTGTAAAAAACAAAATATTTCATATGTGTATTATGATAATACTGGCACATTATGTAGATTTTAAAGTGATTGAATACTTGTAAAATTGTCTGTTGTTTTGCAATAGTTACAGTTCGAAAATATCGATACGATTTGAATAATACTGAGTAAATTAATTGTAATTAGTAATTTAAATCAGCAATCTATAATCGATAGCAATCATTTGTTACTTCTAACGAAGAATTCAATACTAAATTAGTTTCTCATGGTGATTTAGGAGACGATAAATGACCGTAAACTGGTTCGAAACCGATAATAAAATTCTATCATTCACCTGATACTATTTGTTCATTTACAGAAAGTCACACAACAAGGTATTTTTTAATGATTTGTCACTATCTTTTCTCGAAGTTGATTAAATAATCAATGAATGACTTTCTTTATAAACTAGGGATATCACATTACTTTTACTTTTTATTTCTTTTACTTAGTAATTGTTAATAATTCTTATTACTGTCGACTAATAATTACATTAGCGTTGCTTTTTTTTATTGATGATAGTCTTAAGGTTGTGGGTACTAGGTGAATACAGTATCCATACTCACAACCGCACCCATCCGTAAACTTTATTGTCTTGAAATAATACGCCTTAGAAGTCGGACTTAAAGTTTAACAGCAGGTTAAATAGTAATTAGACATCGTGATCGAAGCTCAAAGATTGCATTTTTCTAGCAATCATCATGAATATATGAGTTCTACATTTTAGCCCGATAGTGGCTGCGCTGAAAAACGTTCTTTTTACTCCTCTTAACACACCAACTCAAGAATATATTCTAAGTACTAGTTTTAATATATCAGTAAAAAAAGAAAAAACATAAGAAAAAAATACTATATTAAAATAAAAAGAAAACGCTAGAATAAAGTGAAATATGTGATGATTTGAAGTTTTTGGTATCATCGCGAAATCAATTCGAACCACTGTTCTGTTTCCAAAAAAAACAACAGTATCAAATATTGGTATAATTAATCAATACATCATATGCATGCCAGTTTTAAACACAACAAGATCAGCATCAGCAGGACAACGACGATGACCAAGTCATCAATCGGAATTAAGAATACAACTTTGAATTATTACTGTAAGAAAGCAATCTGTAATTAAGATAGCAAATACCATGTAAACTATGAGTTTGACCATTTGAGAATATATTAAATGATGTCGTTTATTATATGTAAGTTGTAAAAAGGAATGATATAATCTCGCAGTTATGCTTCGGCGATACACACATCGAGCGCCAACCAAGGATGCATTTAATAAAAATCTTCTATTTAGAAAGAAACAGATAATTATCTTTTGCTTTCATATATGCGCATGCCCATAAAATCATTGCCGAGTATACTTTTTTATTCGTTAAGTGAAAGACGTATTTATCCTTCGTTTTTATCAACGTGCTCAAATAACGTGATTATGAGGGAGATTATTTTAGTAGAGGAGTAACGTATTTTGCTTTGTCATTGCTTGCTTGATTCGCACTCGTTTGGTCGAGTTAGTGTGCTCCAAATTTGGAGTTTACGGATGTGTAAGTTTTCGCAAAATACTCTACCTAAAAACTATAATAATATATTTTTCATTACTCTAATAGATACTCTAAACTGTGCTGAGTCGACTGGTGGTGTTCAAGACAAAAAAAACATAGGGCTGTAAGCTACGATTTGTCGAAAACCTTGAAGCTGGCAAACTCTATATTTGAAGCTCATATAACTTGACGCACTTGTTAATATCTCTAAACATCTATACTTATGAACTAGCATTGAAATAAAAAGAACCTGATAAATTATTGATGTAAGAATATCTAAATAATATTGTTAGTAGGGTGTAGGTGTGGGTGTGGGTGTAAATATGATATAAGTATTAAATCCATCACACATCCACACGGATCCTTAAGATTAGAATGTCGTATGATAATTGTTTGAAAAACAACGAATTTTATCTTATTTTATTTTTTTTTTCAAATAAAATAGTGTGAATATCTATCAAATTGGATTGTTAGTGAAAATAGTACTGATTGTTAATCTGTATCATATATTCAATTAAATTTTATTGATGTTAATCTATGATCTATAAAAAGTCAAAGTCGTCTTATTGAAATTTTAAATGAAAATATTTTTTTCGTAGATATGTATCACCATTTATATATGAATTATGTTCGTATTATATAAATTTAATAAAATATATTGTGAAGAAAAAAACAAGTATTCTATTCTATATTTAACTAGTTCATGATTTATGATTGAAACAACAAAAAGATTCTCGTTTTCTTTTCTACAAGTTAATTCATGTGAAAGATTCATTAAGAAATCTCGTGTTATAAATGTTCTTCATATTACCAAGACAGAAAAAAAACTAATTTTTTCTTATAGTCTTGTTTTTCTGCTACTATCTTTATGTAATTTCCATTGTGACATTTCTAATCATATACTCTTAATCAATAAAAAGATGATAAATAATAATACAACATTAGAAACGTGTGTTAGTAATGTTACTTATGATAGATTATTTCATATATCCAGTAGTATATGGCATGTATTTGGTTTTTTTGGTGTCTTATTTGGTATACCTGGCCATATTTTACAAATAATTATTTCATTCAATAAAACTAGTCGAAAACAACCAAATTCATTGTATTTTATTGCTATTTCAATAGTTGAAATAGTCTTTCTTTTAGGTTTGTATGAGTTTTATATAATATAATATAATATAATGTATACTTAACACATAGAAAATGTGAATTAGTTTTACAGTAATCTAATTTCTATTCTGATAGGTATATTTTGGTTATGGTGTGTAAATATGTCATTTATTAAAACTGATCCTCGAGAATTTTTATCATGTGGAATTTTTTATAGTATTATAATTGGTTCAACAACATTATCACATCTTTATTTAGCATCATTATTTATTGATCAAAGTATGATGATTCTTTATCCAACTCATTATCGTTTAATAGTTACACGATCTCATGTTATATTACGTATTGTATTAATTACTTTTATAATTATTTTACTATCAATTCCTCATCATTTTTATTTTCATTATGAACCACGAATAACATTTTTTCTTTGTGATTTTAATTCATCTCTTTATTATGGAAAGGTACGTATATGGTTATTTGTACACGCAATACTTCTTGTAGGTATTCCGTCATTAATTGTATGTATAAGTTCAGCAATTTTATTACATAATCGATGCAAACATAAACGAATATATAAAAATAATTTAAGTATAAATGCTCGTCGTATGCATAGACGTTCAATATTAATTTTCGTTTATTCACTTGGTTTATTTCTATTTATATTACCTGGATGTATTTTAGAAATCTATATGGTATATGATCGATTTTTTTATCGTAATATGTACTGTTCAATACGGTGGAAGATTTATAGACTTTTACCTAATTATTTTTTAATACTTTCATCAATTACTTATTCTAATAAGTTTTATATTCATCTTATAGTATCAACTACATTTCGAAATGGCTTTATACAATTGATTACTTGTAAATCGAATCAAAATTCGACTAAATCAATAGCAATGAATGAAAGAAATAATAATGAACAATATTTACTTTCGCCTATAAACCAAACAAAAACTATAGACATTTATCAAAAATAATTAATACTATTTGAATATTTTATGCATACATATTTCAATGTAGTATGAACTTTCAGTTTACAGTAGAATAAGCATATATTTGTGTTCTATGTTACAATCTTTTTAATTAAGTGAAGAAATAGTTTGAATGAATGATTAATATCTTATGTGTCACGCAATGAGATTTTGAAGAATTAAATGAATATAATTAATTTTTTATAGCTTTAAATCGGTCTTTATTTATTCTAAATCTATAAATATAAACAAGCAAAAATTCTGAGTAGATAATATAAATATATATTTGGCTTATCTTGTATATGGGTTTATGACTGTTGATTTGAGCGTAGACATACTATTTATTTCACGTCCAAACATACTCAAAATCTAGTTGAAGTCACCAACCTATTTTCAAGTTAACTCAAATATATACCTAGTGCTACTAACACCCGATTAGTTAGTACCGGTGCAGACCTAAATAATAATAATAATAGGATATTTTATAGGATTCACATATCAGTGTATCTTACAATTATATCAATATATAAAGGGCGTACAGTCAATTGAATTTAATTAGTTTAATTTTTAATATACAAAGGAAGAATTCAATACTCGTCTATTTATAAGAAGAATGTATCTCGTGTGAACTTCTTTTTATTTACTGTTCTTCTGTCAGTAAAAATAGATATTTTAAATATGATCTCTTTTAAAAAAAAAATTCCAGATAATGAAAAACAACAATCAATGAAAGAGTATTGTATAACGATGTTTCTAATGAGTAGAAGCAAATGTGAAACAATAAACTAATCTTTGAAAAAAATATGAGTAGATCTTACTATTCTGTTTTTTCATGTTAGATGATTTCGACAGAATAATTCAATTATTAACCTTAATTTAAACGGGAAACGCAATTCGTATTCAATCAATACTGACTTGATTAGAGTTATATAATACTCAATGCTGATCGGATAATGTTTGAATACTTATAAGAATGCATCATAAAACTATTGTTATCATCTATTATTTAACATAAAAATGTTGTTCTTTTCACTGGAACAATAAAACAGAAAAAGAATATTTATTCATGACTTTTAGTTAAAAAGAAATAATTCTTTTATTTGTCTTATACTGATATATTATTCTTCTATTATATGAAAATATTACAGATATTAATTACACTTTGAACATTATTCATCAGTATTTTAATACAAACGTATGAACATTGAAACTTCATATTAATTGATATGCTTTAACAATTCTTGTACAAAAACGCAACCATGTATCATGATGACCAAACATCTGTAATATGTATAAAATCATTCTTAAATATCTACTGGAGATTATTTGTATCTTTTTTGTGATATTAATGAAATAAACAGTTGTCTTTACGTGAACAATGTGACAAATAAAATTTGAAAAACTTTTTTATTGATATTTAATCAGAAAAAATAAATATTATTTGAAAAATATCTCATAGATAACAGTTTGATGACGTTCATTGAACAAAAACAACATAGAAGAACGTGATAAAATAAAGTCCTGACAAAATGAATTATTTAGAGAATATGTTTTAATGACGTCAATCATCTATTTATCATGGAAATTGATATTTTATTTTGATTTTAATCACGTCTGAATATTAATACAGTATGCTACCTAGGGTTTTGACTCCGCAAGGGCAAGTTCAGCTGTCGGGAGCACAAGCAACAGCTTTTTAAAGTAAAGTTGCTGTAAGAACTATCTAACCTCCTTGGTGTGAGTGCTGATTTCGAGATGCTTTGCTACTTTAAAAAAGTACCTCGCTACGCCTATACCAGAGGGACTGATCAGTATCTGAACACTATAAAGCACTTATGAGAACTTTATGAGTGATCAAACCATTCATTATTAAGACACTTCAGGTGTTTAATTCACTAAACTGTTAAAACATTTGTTGTCATCGATGCTGTAGGATTATACAAATGCCCAAACAAGTGATCATGCACTAAGATAATTTTCAGCAAGGTACCTGATCAAACTCCGATGACGTACTGGTAGCGGATGCTTATATAGATACCCTGCTAAAAATCGTCACAGTGTTTGAGCACCTGAAACTCAGGATCTTTAGTAAAACTGTTATACTCATGATTTTAAAGCATTTATGTTTTATAAGTTCTATAAAAGTAATTTTTATTTCATTTATGTCAACACTAAGACATTGCTAGGCGATTAACCTAACATATAAAATATACAAAATTCTGTTCTTTGATTGCTAATTGAATCACATACATTCGACTCTTTCAAAGCATGGTATTTTTTATCCGATAGGATTGATGGAAAGTAGCTGACTATTAATCGGAACATTTGAAGAACAGCCAACAATTTCTGGAAGATAGTTTCACTGAGAACAACAATGTTTAATGAAATACTTCGAAACTGATTGAGATTCATGAAACGTTAAAGTCAGATTACATTTAGGAAAACGAGTGTCTTTTATTTTGACATAATTGTGCTCGTTAACAGTTTCTCCAATTATTTCTCAAAAGAGCAGCTTCAGACACTTTATATTGATCTTATTCTTTCTGAAAGTTATTTCAATTTTTCTCGAGAGGGTGAATGTGATCTCCGGGAGAACGGCATCATCCCTGCCATCACGCTGGGTAAAACACTGGTTTAACCGGAATTATTCTTTTTTTAGGATGTCTTTTATCTAAAAAAAGAAGATATTTTCAAATGAAATTCATTCTTAAACAACTGAATTTAATAATGTTTTCTTTTTCAAAATAAAATTCTATCAGATTCAAAATATATTCATGTGACGAGTTATTAATTAAATCTAAACAATAATAATCAAAATTATCAATAAAGAATCGTCTCTCAAAATATATCATTGTTTTCCTAGATGATATTTGTTAATCATGAGAAGAGAAAAAAAGAGAGATATAAATAATAAAGAAATGAAGAAATAGCTTCACTTGTTTTTCTCGAACAAGAATATTAGTTGTCTAGTCGATTACAACAATCTCACTTTTCTTTATCATTAGTGAATACAAAACAAAAAATGTTGTTTGATATAATGACGAAGAACAATTTCAACATTTTCTTCATGCTGTTATTGGTTATGATCAATGAAATATCAGGTAATGATTATTATTATTTATCAATCATATCTTTTTATCGCTTTTTTAACTTAAAATGGTATGAATTAGATTTAAGAGTGTTAATCGATCTGTTCTTAGATTTTCATAAAAACTGTTGAAGAATGTCATGTGAAATTTTCTTTGAATGACATATTTATAGAAAATGGATAAGAATATTTTCTACAAATTATATTTTTTCGTTGACACTCGAAGATGTTATATCATTAAATTAATATTCTTAACTTCGACAAGATCAATCTTTGATATTTTTATAAAATTCAACTCAAATATGAATGTTTATCTATTTGATTTGAAAATAAAATATTTTTATTCATCTCATTGATAAGTTCAGATGTATTTAAACGTCTATATTTTACAACTAAAATTGTAAAAACGTTTTCGGAGAATTAATTTCTAAAAAGGTATAGTGATTAGTATAGAGATGCATAAATACAGATTTAGATTAAAGATAGTATGATAAGTATAGAAGTATAGATGATTAGACGTTGAAGTATATTGATAAAGACAGAATAACAAGAATATAGTTGTAGAAAATTTGAACGGAGGAAGACTAAAAACATCTAATAGAATTCATGGCTGTATGTTTTGATATTAAATGAGAAGAGTGTATTTTATCCATGAACTTATTATGATATTTGCTATAAGATTTATATTAACTAACAATTGATTTTCAAGAGAATAATCAAACATTATTCTCTTGAATTTTTCTGATAGATGATCAATTGATTCGATTTAAACAAAGATGAAAAGAGTGAATTTAACAGAATATTCTATAAAAATGTTAAATAAAATTTTTTTCTAAAATATTAATCATTTCGATGATTAAGTCAAATTGACAATGTTTTATAAACAAATTATTTTAAAATGTGTTCATTTTATTTTTTAAAACAATTTTTCTTATTTTTAATAAAACGAAACATTTAACGAACAATATGTGTTCAAATAATTATTAATAGTCAAACAAACGAACTTATTTGCAATTTTTCTTTGAAGGAAAACCATTAAAATTATTTCTGAATCGTTTTTTTTCAGAAAAATATTTGTCTGAAGAAACAAGTTATTCCGAGAAAATTTTTATCTGAAACTTTTTATTTTAGCACTTTCATTTAATCAACCAAAATTTTGTCCAACAGCAGCTTGGGATCCTTTTGGAATTACTTTTACTAATCAAACAACTGTTGGAGAGGATCTTTACGCCCTTTTTATTAATGCGAACAACACAATTTATACAGTTAATCGAAAGACGAAACAAATCTTAATGTGGATTAACAATAGTATCAATCTAAACAAAACCATTTCTGTCGATTTCTATGATTCAAAGTCCATTTTCATTACAAATAATGGTGATATTTATTATGATGATGGTTTTTATCATGGTGAAGTTGGCAAATGGATATCAACTACAAATACTTTTGTTACTGTCATGGATGTAATTTCACCAGCAGCATGTTATGGTCTCTTTGTTGATATTAATAATACTTTATATTGTTCACTGTCTTGGATTCATATAATTGTGAAAAGATGGTTAAACGATAGTGAAATGATATCAACAACTGCAGCTGGAACAGGTATTCGTGGTACTGCTTCGAATGAACTTGATAGTCCTTGGGGTATCTTTGTTGATTTAAACTTTGATTTATATGTGGCAGATTATGAGAATCATCGAATTCAACTATTTAAATCCGGAGAATTAAATGGGACAACAATTGTTGGACAAGGATCATCAAATAACATTATCTCACTCAGATATCCATGTGGAATTGTATTAGATGCTGATAAATATCTTTTTATTGTCGATCGATTCAATCATCGTATAATTAGATCAGGATCGAATGAAATTCGATGTATAATTGGATGTGATGAAGGAGGATCACAATCTCATCAATTATTATTTCCAACAGCTCTTAGTTTCGATAGTTATGGAAACATATTTATTATTGATGATGGCAATGATCGTATTCAAAAATTTGATTTCTTACCAAATTCTTGTGGCAAGTTTAAAATAACTGAATAGGAGAAAAATTCATTTAAAAATCTTAATTTCCTTCTAAAGTAAGATTAACGAAAATATCCGTCTTCGTCTTTTTTGTTTTGTTAAATGCAAATTATATTTGAGATTTTCAAACTGAATGAATTTTTTGAACTTAAAAATCATTTGAAATGTCGATGAAAAAAATCAAATGAATTTTTCTCGTAGAAATAAATAATTTTAATCAAAAAAAACTATATTTTCTCTTGAATTGTCATCGAAATGAAGAGATACACTTATTCATTGAGGGTGTGGGTGTGAGGGATGGATGATTGTTTGAGTAGTGAATAGCATATTCATATTCCAGCCAGTACACCTACACTCTAGCCATCTACCCTCTTGATTTTATTAGATTCTGCACTACTTAGACATTTATATTATATTTTAATATGAGAGAAAATACATCCAATAGTCCTCGAATATTGATGATGTCAAACGATTACGTGATCTGTTTTGTTTCACCAGCAAAAGTAATAGGCAAATAATAATTATTGCTTACACATAAAACAGTCACACAAGGGACATGCATCGAAAAGAAAAAAGAATATTGAAAACCATTGAAATTTATTTAATATTTTATAAATTTTGATTGATTTATTTTTGTTAAATAGATAATTCATCCAGCATTCAATCTGTGTATTCGTCAATGTTAACAGAAAATCACCCAACATACTCTCCTACTGGTTGTGATATTTCGGGCTACTATTACGAAGCCATACAAGTGAATGTCAATGAAAGTCGCTATTATACTCTTAGTAGCAACAGCACTATTGATACATATGGTTACATGTACACAGAGAGTTTCTATCCATCCAGTCCATCTGTAAATTCAATTCTGGAGAATGGTATCCGTTTCGGTAAACATCAGTTCGGATTCAGAACTTTTCTTCGATCCACCACTGCGAATATATTGGTTGTGACAACGTATAGTCCAAACGTAACAGGATCATTCTCAGTTATTGTGTCCGGTATCAATAATGTTACTTTTGAACGTCTAAGTGAGTGTCTATAAAAATATTTATAAATATCTACGCAGAAATGCAACGCATAGAAAATCTATGTATACTCAATCTCCATTCTGTATTCATCACAAATCTAGTAAAGTTTCTTATTAAATAGAAAAGAATATCTGAGAAGATCGCTGTTTCAAAATACAATTCCCATATGCTAAGCATCCTTTTTCACAGAAATACTCGAACAAAAAGGAAGGACTGAATGGAAACATGTAATTATCAGAACTAGATAACAGTAACTTCTTAATATCTTACTGTTTAACGAAAACTTTTAAAAAACTGAGGTGGATCTCAGTAAGTAACAGTAGTGTTATCATAGATTCACAGTTGTCGTTCAGTATCGCATCTAGAAAAGTAAAATACAACTAATGCTTATAGGTAGAGTTCCTCACCTGTTTGGTAGAAAGAGTTGTTATGAGTGAGTTAAAAGTGATCGACATGTGCTATTGAAATACTCTCATTGAGTGTTGATATTATCTGATATAAATTAAGCTTGAACAATCTATTGACGGCCGTTTGCTTCATATTATCGATACATTCGTATACTGATTATAATGTAGCAAGCATCAGTTGTTGTAACTCTCTAATATGTTCCTAGTTAATATGTATTCGTAACTGAAGTGTAAGCATGAGAGTCCTTCGTGAGATCAGCCTTCAATCCAATGTTACATATAGTGATACTTGTAGGAAAGAAATTAATCTTAAGTAACTGTTATCACACAACATTCAACATTGTAAAATAGTCGAAATACAGATATTCTTCTTTTTTGTCTTTGGTCCTGCAATAAATGATACTTGTGAGAAAAACAAAAAACTTATGTAGTAAGTAAAAACTAAGTGAATAACACATTTTTGTTTAGTATCAGATTTGATCTTTGATATTGAGAAGAACGAAAATGGTTGAAATAGAATCGAGGAAGGTACTTTTTTCGTGATTTTGATATGATGAAATGTTCCACACCTGATAACAGAAATTCTTTCAGAAAACAAAATAAGAACTCAACTAACCTGTATGGAAAAAATCGAGAGATCATAAGTAGTATTCTGTTTTCATTACTTTTCGAAAGCGATACACGAAAATAACATCAAACATTGGGGATGCGAATGTTATGCTCTTCTTGAATGTACATCCTCAAGAACTTATAATAATCTATTCAATGATCAACACTTTTCGTTAAACTTTGATGCTAAATAACTATCAAAACATAGGTTTCATCTGTTTAGTCAGATTTTATGGCATTCAAACGCCTTTATCGCAGTTTAACACACCAAAAAATCGAAGATATGCCTTAGATGTTTCTTGATCACACTTGACACAAGATAACTCCAAATTTCTTCTATTTGTTTCATTCATAAAAGTAGTTCAAGATCATCATAACAGCTCGTGCGTGAGATATCCACTTTGAGTACATATATTCAAAGAAAAACAACATACAAAGCTGTTTAAATCTACTAAAATGCTACCAATTTTCATTGGATTGTTTTCTGTTGAATAGATATTTCATCAATCGTTCATTCGATTTATTCATCAGAATTAACAGAAAATCACTCAATATATTCGCATTCTGGCTGCGATCTTTCAACCTATTATGAAGCGATACAAGTGAATGTAAATGAGAGTGACTACTATACTTTTGCTAGCAACAGCATTATCGATGTATCTGGCGCTATCTACAAAGATGATTTCAATCCATCCAATACATTAAAAGATTTGATTTCAAGAGATGATGACAGTTGTCCTAACCTTGAATTTACACTGACTGCTCACCTCAAAATCAGGACAAAATACATATTGGTCGTGACGGCACATCGTCGAAATAGGACAGGAATATTTTCCATAATTGTGTCTGGTTCCAACAATATCACTCTCCAACATCTAAGTGAGTACCTATACTATCAATATAAATCAGTTACAACACGAGAAACTGTAGAAGATGTATGTTAAACTCAATCTGATTTCTCAATCCACTGTAGACCTTCGAAAGTTCATTATTAATACAATTTAAGATTAATATTTACAAGGACCATTGCTCACAATGTAGTGTCAATGCATTAAAGATAAATGATACTTAGAAATGTTTAAAAAAATTCATAAAATTCAAACTTTATTTTGTTTATTCGAACAAACCGAAAAATCTCTTCAGTTTTCGTCAAATCCCAAAATATCTAAAACAGCTTTTGATTTCATTAGAAGTTTTCTAAAAGCTTTTCAGATTCCATATTACATTCATCCTTTTAGAGTACCCAAGACTAGTTTTCAGTTCCAACATTTATTACACTCGACAGAGAAAAGTTCTCAGTGGGATCGATAGAAGTTTCTTATAGAACTAAAGGATCGATTGATTAAAAGCAATATTTGATTTTAAAGCAAAGTATTTCTTGATAAAAGTTCGGTAAAATTCCGATTAAGTTGTATAGATTTTCTCAAAAGATGAAATTTTGATGAGAAAACCATCGATCAGGTCTTTTTTTAAAGTTTCTTCATTAAATTTCGATACAAAATAGTATTTTTAACATTTTCTTCATTTATTTCATCAGAAATGCGAATACTACAATATACATAGATTATCTTGAAATAAACAAAATTGGAGCAGTATAGTGAACTTCCTCTGTCGAAATGATTATGAAATAATCATTATCGTTTCCTTCTGTTTTCTTGCTGAACGCATTAGATACTTCTTTACCATCATATCTTCACTCTGTAGATATATATTTGAAAGAAAAACGATACTGAATAAGATTTTAAATCCATCTACCTGTATTACGAATAGAGTACTGATAAATCTGTTTTTTGTTGACTAGTTACTTCATCAGTTGTCCAATCCATATATTCATCAGAACTAACAGTGAATCATCAAATGTACGGTCGAACTGTTTGTGACGACTCAAATTATTACTATGAAACTATAGAAATCAATGTGGTTACAGATGGATTCTATATCATTGCAAGTAACAGTAGTGTTGATATATACGGATATGTCTACAACAACAGTTTCAATCCATTCAATCCATCTGTAAATTTAATCTTAAGTAATATTTTCGGATGCGGTGCAGGTTTTCAACTCACCGTTAATCTTGTAGTCAATATTACATACATATTGGTTGTGACATCATGGAAAGAAAATATGACAGGATCATTTTCGATCATTGTGTCTGGACCAACAAACACCAGTGTCACACGTATTAGTAAGTATTCATACTTTTTCGTCCTAGTTAGCATTATGTTTTCCAATTGTTTTTGAAAATGAAAAAGGGGCTGAAACTGGCATAAAGTTCAAGTTTTTGCTGTAGTATCTTTGTATTATTTTCTGGTAGGTTTCAAACAAAAAACACTTAGACTATGTATGTACTATAAGATTTGGACGAAAAAAACTGCTTTCATTCTGCATTCTGTCAGATAAACAGTAATTAGAACTCAAAAGCCAGGTTTTTATCGAAGTTTATCGTGAGAACTTAAATGTTTTAGTAGAAAGTCCTGGAGATTTTGACAAGGGTGTCAGTGTGGGTGTGGGTAGGTGTAGCAATGCGATGGATACAATATTCATAACACACCCACACGCATCCGGCGGTGTCCTTTCATATAATTCAAACTTTATTTTGTTTATTCGAACAAACCGAAAAATCTCTTCAGTTTTCGTCAAATCCCAAAATATCTAAAACAGATTTTGATTCCATTTGAAGTTTTCTAAAAGCTTTTCAGATTCCATATTACATTTATCCTTTTAGAGTACCTAAGACTAGTTTTCAGTTCCAACATTTATTACACTCGACAGAGAAAAGTTGTCAGTGTGTGCGATTAGTAGAAATTTCTTGTAAAATTAAAGGAACGATTTGTTGGATCAGTATTTGATTTTAAAGTGAGGTATTGTTTGATATAAGTTCAGCAAAACTTCGATTAAGTTCTACAGATATCCTCAAAAGATGAAATTTTGATGAGACAGCCATCGATCAGATCTTTTTTTAAAGTTTCTTCATTAAATTTCGATAGAAAATCGTTTTTTCAATGTTTTCTTCATTTTTTTTTGACGAAAGATACGAAGCGAACACTGGTAGATTTGTTTTTTTTTGACTAGATGGTTCAACAGTTGTCCAATCTATGTATTCATCAGAACTAACAGCGAATCATCAAAAGTATTCTCGTATTTGTGACAAATATAACTATTACTATGAAACTATAGAAATCAACGTAGTCGCCAATGGATTCTATGCGATTGAAAGTAATAGTAGTGTCGATACATATGGATATATCTTCAATAATAGTTTCGATCCGTTCAATCCATCAGTAAACTTAATCTTAAAGAATGATGATGGTGATAATACTTGCTTTATGAGACAGTTTAAAGTCTCAGTCAATCTTCTAGTCAATGTTAAATACATATTGGTTATGACAACATATCATGCAGATACGACAGGTGCATTCTCAATTATTGTGTCTGGACCAGTGAACACTAGTATCAGACGAATTAGTGAGTATTCATACTTGGTGCCATGTTTCCCGATTGTTTTCAAAGATAGAAAGGGGTTTGAAATTGGCAAAAAGCCCAGAGTTTTATCATAAAGTGTCTTTGTATGATCTTCTAGTGAGTGCCCAACAAAAACACTTAGGCTATATACGTGCTAAAAGGTTTGAACGGCAAAGAGTGTTTTCATTATGCATTTTGTCAGAAAGATAGTGAGCAGTATTTCAAAATCCAATTTCTACTCAAGTTTCCCATGAGAATTTAAATGTCTCGGTAATAAGTTTTTTAAATTTTTATAAAACGCAGATATCTTCTTAAATTGACGACATGAATCGGTTCTCTACAGTCTCTCTGGTCTCAAAAGTCTGATTAGTACAGAAGTTTGAAACCGAAGGGAACGGACGAACTCAATGTCTATTCTACATTTTTATGTTGTTGTGGGAATATTTTGATGAGTTAGAGAATAATCTTTCAAAAGATCTTTTCGTGATGATTCGATATTGACACTGCAAATATGATATAAATCCAAAAATGGTCAAAAGTCTATTATGAAAATATCGATTCTCAAAAAGATATTTTTAGTGACTGTTTTCGATGTAGTCAGACACAATATTCCGTTATTTATATTCCCAGTTTTCTGATATTTTTTTCGAAACTGTTGTTCTACAGTCACTTCGAATGGAATATCTTTATCAGTAAAATTCGAAAGATAGTCTATTAATATGCTTAACAGCGTATCTTCAGCTTCGCTAATTCTCATAATATTTAGTTCACCCGAAATAATATTTAACTATGCGCTGTTTTGAATATACTTTCATCATTTTGTATATTTATATATGTTGTTGCTGAGGATATATCAAGTTAGTAAGGATAGATAATACAGGAACATTAATGAAATAACCTTTATTATTAATGATTGCCCATTGTGATAATCAAAAAATACGCAAACCTACATATAACCAAGAATAGAAACATTTCGAAACAAGTCACTATTTTTTTATAGAATTTCATTCGTTTCCGTATTCATCTTTCACTATCATAGCAAAGAATAAATGAATCTTTTATTAACTATTATTTCTTAGTAAATTAATCTGAAAATGAAATTATTTTGATTCTTAACAACAAACCATACGATATAGATAAGTCGATGAAAATGACAAATGTATACAAATAATCGATCCTTCAAAGCATGAGTTCTAAAGAAGAAAAAAGTGCTTCATCAGATAGAATTACTAAGTATTCATCAATTAAAACGCTTATGTAAGCTTACTATTGACCCTTCATATTTTGTTTAGTTTATTGACTTGTTAAAGTTTTCTAGTAAGACACAGAATTCTTCAATAACTTTGAGCATCTCCGTAATATTGATGTAATGTTAGCCTGAATACATATTCATTGATTTGTTTTAATTGTTATGATCATCAGATGATATTGATCTTGTTAAAACACACTTAACCAATAAGAATTGATTTTCTCGGTATTCAGCACGATGTTAAATTTCTTTATTTCGTATCGAAAATTCACAAATATTTTCTCCAAAGCGAAGATTGAATAATTTGTCAGAGATCTTTGATACACAAAAAGCACATTAATTATGAAACTTCACTAGTTCTGATAGAATTTTATTTAACATTTCATACATTTTATTGTAACTTGTAAAAGATCTTCTTTCACGAACTTCTAATCATAAATGATCTTAATATTAATTGAATGTTTAAGTATATTTATCAAACTTTTTTTTATGTATCAACTAAAATATCACTTTGAAGATACTCAAACATAAGATAGTCTATTTAACTTTACTTGATCATAGTTCAAATCTTTGTTTTATTTCTTTAGTTGAAAATCATGATAAATGTGTTATTGGTAGTTCATGTAATGTTCAAACAAAAGGTATTGGTATAACTCTTGATGATATTTTACGTTATGAAATTAATCGAAATGTGACGTTGAAGAATCAACCATTATTAGTGAAAATAAGTGTTGGTTTAACAATGATTATGTTTCTTTTGGGTCTGATCAATAGTATTTTGTCACTTTTAACATTTCAAAATGCAAATTTAAGAAAAGTTGGATGTGGAATATATCTTTTAGCATCTTCAATAACTTCTCTTCTCACAATTTCTATGTTTACAATCAATTTTTGGTTTGTTCTTCTTACTCAAATGAATTCATCAACTACTTCATCTGTTCATCGAGGTGGATGTATTTCTATTGAACCTATCCTGAAACTTTTTCTTTATTTTGACACATGGCTTAATGCTTGTGTTGCTATTGAACGAGCAATTAATGTTTATCAAGGTATTAGTTTTAATAAAGAAAAGAGTAAACGTCTGGCTCGATGGATTATATTTATTTTACCATTTTGTATCTCAGCTACAATCATTCATGAACCTTTACATCGCGATATCTTCGAATATGAAGTGAAGGACAACAAGGATGAAATAGAGATAACAGAAAGAAACAGTTGGTGTGCAATTCAGTATTCTCCTGCTATTCAAGATTACAATACAGCTATTCTTTTCATTCATCTTATTGGTCCATTTATTGCTAATCTCTTTTCTGCTTTATTCATTATTTTCGGAACTGCTCGACAACGATCATTAGCTCAGACGAATCAAAATTACATTGCACATATTCGTGAGCAATTACGTGAACATAAACAATTAGTGATTAGTCCAGCAATTCTACTTATTCTATCAATGCCACGTTTGATCATTTCATTATTATCGGGATGTGTGAAGATATCTGATTATCCTTGGCTATATCTTTGTGCTTATTTCATTTCATTTACTCCTTCGATACTTGTCTTTATTGTATTTGTCGTTCCGTCAGATTTGTACCGAAAAACACTTGAAGAATCTTTGAGAACTTGGCAACGACGAATTTGTCACTGAATTGTGTATCTTATTTTCAAATAATATATATCAGACCCTCATAACATATACATATAATAGTATCAATATGGGTAAGCCGTCCAATCAATGTTTAAACTTATAATCATTGTTTCGTATATGTCTTTGAACAGTTCCTATTGAAAAAAAACAATCAGTTGACTGTCATATTGTTGAATTATATTTTTGAATAGATTTCGGAGTCTTGTTCATATTCTTTCATTTAGCAATTAATAACGAGAATTAAGTCTTTATTAGTGCTAACTTGATTGAAGACTATTTGTCATATCAAAAAATAAAGATTTGAGGGTGATTGTTTATCTTTATTTAGCCACACTCACACCCACACCCTCAACATGCACACGTAGATATATAAATTTTATTCATAATATTTATATGAATGATCTAATGTGCTTCTGTTCGGACAATCGTTGTCCCAATTGCATTCGGTGGTTTTCTTAGACGACGAAATTGCTTTAACATCCACTTTTTGAAATCAGGAAGCATTCCAATACCAATCCAAGGAATTAAAAGACATATAAAATACGTCAAATCTTCTACATAATCTGTTTGAATTTCATCTATCTCATCCGTTGGACTTATCTGTTGAATAAGACCAAAGATGATGCTTGGTATCCAGATAAGTAAATAAAGACTTGAAATACTAATAAGTTGTATTGTCATACGCCTTTGTTTTGACCATGAGATAGCTCTTTGTTGACGAAGTCTTTGTCTAATAACTTTTATAATCAGCACTATGTTAGCAAGCATAATGACAATAGCTAGCAAAGCAGTATTTACTATCCAGTCAAACATAGCCAATGCCGGGTTCTTTGTAAGATAGCATGTAGTATCACCACACATGTTCGATGTAAAGTCCCAATCTGAATTATCACATGGATAGAATACAATGGTACCCATGTAAAAAGCAACACGATAAATAACACCAAACAGAAGAGGTAAGTAATAGAAAACATAACGCTTAATTGTATTGCGAAATAGATGTGGTCTAAAGATGAGTGTATGTCGTTGAATGGATATAATAGCTGCCAGTAATTCATTTGTCGCATCAAGAGTCGATTCAATATACATCCAACCTCTACAGTATATACCTGTTGCTGGACTGATGTAACTGAGACGAAAGAAATCAAGACACATTGGTAGATTAACTGTTAGCTGAATAAAATTAACAATGAATAAAACAAGTAAGGCTTTGTTTTGTAGTTTATTTAGTTGCGTTGGATTAGTAATGAAAAATGCAAAAATGAAAAGAAAAATAAGAATTGCTGGAATTTGTAATGACAGTATTACGAAAAATTTAGTGCGATGGATAACATATTGATAATTTGGTAATGCATCCATCTTATTGACGATAATTGCTTAGTTATAGAGACGAGATAATGAAATTCTTTGAGTATGTTAATAGAATAAAATTTATTTAAATAATGACTTTTCTTTTTCTTATCCTTTCGGACATTTATTTCTGTCTTCTGCTTATATTTTTATGTCTCCCGTTTTGAAAATCCGGCTTTAATATTCAGTAGATTAATCAAGACAAGATGTAACTAAAATGAGTATTCATTAAGTTAATTAAAATAACGTCACACTATGTAGTCTTTTCCAAAGTTAAAAATAAACATTCATACATAATTATTTTTATATCATGTCGTTAAAAGATGTTGTCTGTAGAAACAATCTCATTGCTCTAATTATAAAATTTATTCATGTGTGCATTGACTATCCGCTATTAAACCGAATGTATGTTGAAGTTCGAAATTCATCTAGAATTTGTTTTGCGTATTTTTACATCATGTGTCATAGTGAAAGTTGTTGATCGTGATAATACACTTTTTAGCCTCAGCCAATGTTTCATTCTAGTCAACAGATACGAAATAGTTGGAAGGTGCCATTCCCTTCAATAAACACATCTTTTTCTTTCCTGTATCGACAAAAATAGTTAGATATCTCCTGATACCTATCATACTTTTTCATCAAGAATTAAACTTTATATAATAAGAATATCATATATAAAATCAGCATAAAAATAAGTTCTTTGGTGTTTGATTTTCTGATAAAACCCTTCGTTACCATGAAAGGTAAAACTCAGATAATCTTATTACGCAAAGCTTAGTTTTTCTATAAAAAATTTCCTGCTCATGTCAATTTAATACAAAATATGCTCAATTTTTCGTTTTTTAGATTTTATTTGGAAGAAAATTCTTTTGGTTTAATATTATTAATCGTTTTAAAACAAATCGGACATGAATGTTGAATTAAACTATAAGCACATATATAACAAAAATAATGTTTACATTCTCCAATTGATTCGTGTGGCATTACAATTGATTGTTCACATACAGAACATACATTTGTTTGTTCAAGTCGTTTCATTAATGTACCAGAAAAATATTTTCTCATCAATGTACGTGCTTTCAATGAAGTTATAAATGGTATTATAGTTCCTAATGTTTCATTCAATGTATGCCAGATTAATTCACGTTTCATGTAAGAATAATCAAGTATACGAAGTGATGGTGGATGATTATGAATTGTTTTTAAACGACTTAATCGTTCGAATAGATTAATATATGTACCACGATGAAGAAACAATAGAAAATTAATAAAAAGTAATAATTTATAAATAAATTGAAAAGGTAGTAAACGACGATAATCAACTAAGAATTTTTCATAGAGATATGAAAAAACAGTTGATGATAGAAAAAAGAATTTTTGCGAACGAGTTTGTATTGATGGCGAATATTTAAGTTGTAAAAGTTGTTGACCAATTGTTGCTGAATAACGTGATGATAGAAGTGTATTATATGATGTTAATAAACGAAGAAATAATTGAAATTCATGTTTAAATGTATGAATTAAATGTGAATAAGAATTACGAAAAAGTGATGAAAATATTTCCCAATTATATGAATTAAAATCTTCATCAAGATGATTTGCATCTATCTGAGGTGATCGAAGAGCAAACATTTGTTTATCCATTATAATCTAAAATAATCTTGTTGTTTTTTTTGGATAGAAGTATATTTATTTTAATAAAGCCTTGTGAAAAATGTTAGTAAAACAAAAAATAAAAATTTCAAGAATATATTAACTGCTGGATTTACGGAATGAGAAATAAAAAAAAGAGGAATGAATGTTTATTTCTTTGCTTTTCCTTGATTAGCAACATCATCGATAGCTTTTTTAACAACATCATCGGGTGCAACATAATAATGTTTTATTGGATTTAAATCTTCATCTAATTCATAAACTAATGGAATGCCTAGAAAATCAAATAAATAGATTTTAATTTGATGTATCTTCTTTTCAAACCTGTTGGTATATTAAGTTCAACAATTTCTTCATCAGGTACTTTATCAAGATATTTAACCAATGCTCGAAGTGAATTACCATGAGCACAGATAAGTACTTTTTTACCTGAACGTATCGATGGTACAATATTATCATGCCAATAAGGTAATGCACGTTCAACTGTATTCTTTAAACATTCAGTTAATGGTAATACACGTCTATCAAGAGTCTAGAAAAATAAAATTTATTTGAGAAGATTTATTATTTGATATATACTTGAAATTTTGGATCATTTCGTGGATTATATTCACTTGATTCTTCAAGTTCTGGTGGTGGAATATCATAAGCACGACGCCAAATCTAAAGAAAAGAATATATATTTGAATTTCTTTTAAATAAATCAATATTCAACAAACTTTGACTTGATCTTCACCATATTTAGCTGCTGTTTCAGCTTTATTTTTACCTTGTAAAGCTCCATACATACGTTCATTAAGACGCCAATGACGATAAACAGGAATCCAATGAAGATCTAATTCTTCTTGAATTAAATAAAGTGTTTTTATTGCTCGTTTTAATACCGATGTATATGCTATATCAAATGTAATTTTTCTTTCTTTTAACCACTAAATTAAAATACTTTATTTTTATTATATAGAAAATAATCAACTAACTTTGCCAGCTTTTTTAGCTTCTTCAACACCTTTATCAGATAAATCTGCATCATACCAACCACAAAATAAATTTTTTTGATTCCATTCACTAAATTTATATAAAAATTAAACGATCTTTTTCTAATATTAATTACCTTTCACCGTGACGAACTAAAACTATGGTATATTTTGCCATGATTTTAAATAAATGTACTAGTCGAACTAGAGATAGATATGAAAAAAAAACAAATAATAAGATTAGTAAGGACCTCTATTAATATAATATTGGTCTTGTTATTAACAAATCATAACAGAAGATTTTAAATATTTCAGACAGTTGCGGGTTTTTGTATTCGACCAGACAATATCACTTTTAAATGTCGGACAAAGTAAGTGTTGAAATTATTTATAATTATGATTATTTTTATTAAAAATTAGAATGAAACAAATAATTTACATGAAAATAATGATACAATTGAAGAAAAACGGCGGAAAAATATGATTGATAATCAAAAGTTTCTTGATAGTCTTAAATTGTTTAATGTATGAAGATAATTATTCAATCACCGAATATTTTCACTCAATTGATTTATATTTTAGGTACGTGATGATTTAAAATCGACAGTTAATTCAGTTACAACAGAGAAGAAACCACCACGAAAGAAGCATACTCGAAAGGACAAACTTGATCCGTAAGAATTATATAGATTTTATATCAAAAGGATAACATACTTTTCTTGTTTTGTTTTAAGATCAGAGATACGTCGAAGTTCTCGAATTCAATCAATGCCTCGTAATCATTATAATGATCAATCATATGAAAATGATGACGATTTTATCGTATCAACTGATGAAACATCCAATGGAGAAAATGAAGATGAAGATGAATTAAAATCAGTTTTTACAACTAAAGTTGATAAAGATTGGAAACCATCATATTCAGTAAAACAACCTGCTGTAAAACATTTACGTCCTGTTCGTACGGCAGCTAAAACAGTTTCTGGTGGAGTAAAAATATATCAACCAAATGTTGGATTACAAGCGTCAATGGTTCAATCTACAGATCATTCTCAAAACTTTTATAGAGCTAAAAAAATAAATGTTGCTATATCCTCGTCATCAGAAGACGATTAAATATTTTACAAGTTTCCTTTTTTTTGTAAATAAATATGAACATTTGATTTATTTATTGTAGATTTTAAAAGAAAAGCTATGACTAAAGTAATTTTAATATATTTCTAATAGTTTCTATACATTTTTCTATTCTCAGCGAAATATTGAAGAAATTCGTCGTAAAAATCTTGAAGAGAATCAACGTTTTCTTAATGAACTACGTATAAATAATGTAAATATTCATGTGCTATAATGATTGATGATTTTTTTTCCTTTAATTATTAAGGTTCGAAATGATCTTATCCAATCAGCTCGTTTAGTTACTGGTAAAGATGAAACTAAAAAAGAATATCATAAGATTCATTATGAAAAGTATGAACTTCAAGATTATTTCTTTTTTCATTTCAATTATTTTCTTTTAGAGTTGAACGTACTACACGATATAGTTTAAAAGTAAAATCAGGTGAAATCCAACCATCTACTGTTATACCTCAAGGGCAATACAAAATTAATAAAAAAAGGAAACAAAATCCTTCAAAATGGACTTTATTTTACAAGAATATTGCAAATCCTTATGAACGTGTATATAAGCCACGAGCTCGAAACTAGTTTTTTCTTTATGATTGTTTAATTATGTCTTAGATTTATTTATGTATATTTTGATTAATTAGAATAAAAGAATATTTATGTTTCAGATTTATATATTTTCCAACGTTTTATAATGACTAAAGTAAATTAATTTGATTATTAAAATTAGAAACTGAATTATTTAATTATTTAGTCAAATCTAAGTCGTAAGAAAAATGTTGAAGATATTCGTAGAAAAAATGTTGAAGAGAATCAACTCTTTCTCAAACAACTTCTTATGGCTAATGTAAGTACAAAAATTTTTTTTTTGAATGTTTTAATTTACATTTTCAATCAAGATTCGAGATGATTTTATCAATTCTGCTCGTACAGTTCTTCGAAAAAAGGAAAATATAAAAAAATCTATTCAACATGAAAGGTACGTTTACAACATCAGCCTACACATTGCATATTTTTATTTTTTTGTTAGAATTGAATATTCAACTCGATATCATATAAAAGTAAAATCAGGTGAAATTTCTCCTCATGTACCAGAATGGGTACGGGAAAATGAAAGAAAAAAATTAGAAAATGAACAAAAGAAACAAGAACGAGAAATGAGACAACAAATGAGACAACAAGAAAAACTGCTTAAACAAGAAATGAGAAAACAAATATTAAAGATGAAAATGGAAGAACGTTTTAAGCCTTCAAGATGGACTTTATTGTACAAAAATAATCCTAATCCATATGGACGTACATTCAAACCACGTCAAACAAAAATACACGAACGTATTGAACAAGAATTTATGAAAGATTTACGTTCAGAACACGATTAATTATGTTTTTAATTTTTTTTGTATATATTTACTTATTAATATTAGGAAAACTATTAATTAAAATTATGAACTATATTTATGTTTTAGATTAATATCTCTTTATTACTTCTTACTAATATTATCAGTTAAACATAAGAAGAATATGACAAAAGTAATGTGGTAATATTTTTATATATTTAAATATCTATCTATATATTGAAATAGAGTAATTCTTCTTCTCAACGTAATGTGGAGTATATTCGTCGTAAAAATGTAGAAGATAATCAAGTTTTTCTTCAAAACCTTCTTATAACTACTGTAAGTTTTTAACTCATAATATTCTATTTGATTATTTTCGTTTTTGTCAAGATTCGAAATGATTTTGTCAAATCAGCACGTTCAATTCTTCATACAAATAGAAATAACCAAAGCCAAAAAAATCTGCAACAACAAAAGTAAGTCTTTACAATGATTTTCTATTGATGCAAAAGGCACATCATCTATATTCTCAATTACGAATAGTCCTTAATTAAAGTAAATATAAGTACGAGAAAAATCTTATTCATAATTTCATTATGGATTTCAACAAAGCAACTTCCATTTTAGTAAAAACTTTTACACATTGATAAAACACATCGAGTCATTTCTTGTAATTTAGAAATACACTTCTGTTGACTAGTAGAAAAATTTTGTCACCCAGGCAAAGGCAATTCTTTCTTATGAATAGGCTTATAGTTTTAATGATAAATCTAAATCATCCTTGATCATACCATTGTACAATTAATATTGATTTTCTACTAATATTATAGAAAAATAAGGTTTATCTGTATAATATTTAGAGTCGAACATATAACTCGATACCGTGAAAAAGTCAAATCTGGTGAAATTGGTCCATATGTACCTGAATGGCAACGTCACCTTGAAGAAAAGAAAAAAGAAGCAGAGAAAAGATTATTAGAAAAAGAACAAAAAAAATTGGAAAACGAACGAAAACGACAAGAAAGATTATTGGAAAACGAACGAAAAAGAGAAGAACAGCTATTTGAAGAAGCATTAAGGCAAATTGAACGAAAATTAAAAATGGAAGAAAAAGAAAAGATACGTTTGGCCCGACAACGTCCACCTAAACCTACAAAATGGGCTTTATATGATAAAGAAATTGGTAATAGTAATCGTTATCAACGTATATTTAAACCACGACATACAAAAGTTGGTGAACGAATACAACAGAATTTGTTTTAATTTCTATATATTTAATTATTCAGTAATTTATTCTATTTGATTTGTATCTATATTTATTGTGTTTCTATGATAAATACTTTCTGTTTCTTATACGTTATATTGTAAAAAATGAACCTGTTGAACTAATTTTATATTATTATTTAAAATTGAAAAAAAATAAGATTAAGAGTGAATCCTACAGAGTATTAAAATGATTTTATTCGAAAATAATCTTATTTGTCAAAAAATAATGAACTTATCGTTTCAATCATTCATGACTCATATCGATTTATATATCTGTTAATCATTGACATCGAATAACACCTTCCTGAGCACATGTTACAATAAGTCGTCCATTTCTTGTCCATATTCGACCCATAGTCCATGCACGATTATTCATATGAATTGGACATTCTATTTCATACAATAACCAATCATCAGCACGTACACGTACTTTTGGTGGAATTGGTGGTATATCTAAACTGCGTGGAACTGGTTTTATTGATTGATTTTCTTCGGATAATTTATTTTCATCGATTGTATCAAAATTAAAATCATCATGAAACCACATTGAATGATCAAGTGACGCTTGCATTTTAACTAGAGGATGAAAACCATTTATTGCATATGGAAGAAAAGCACTAACTAATAAAACTCGATCACTACAATATGCAACAGCTGCTCGATGTATATGAGAATCATCAGGTAAAAGATCCTTAGCTTTTATCCATACAAATTCTCGTGCAGGCCATACTGGTTTTGGTTGTAATAAATCACGTTGATGACAATATCGTACATCAATACGTGCAGGCATTTGTAATGCACGATCAATGAATGGTTTAAGTTCAGGTTGTAAACGTTTATCATCAAGAAGTTTTCGAATATGATCTTGCAATGAAATAAGTTCTTCAGGTGGCGGTACATCTTAAAATAAAAAGAATATTTAATTATCTATTCAATTTTAATATTTAATAAATATTTACCAATATGAGGCATAGGTAATTGATGTTCCATATTTCCTCGTTCTTTTCGATGAAAATTCATTGAACATTCAAATACTATTCTATCATCTTGTCTGGCTGTTACACTTCGTGTTTCAAATGATTTACCATCACGTAATCGAGAAATGGTATATGAAATAGCAGAAGAATTATCAGCTGCTGTTAGAAAATATGAATGAAGACTATGTAATGGATAATTTTTTGTAAGTGTTTGTTGTGCTGCATAAATAGCTGAACCGATTATTTGACCACCAAATACACTTTTTCGATTTGGAAAGACAAACAGTGTTTCAGCAGGTTGAATGAAAACATCTGGAGACGTCTCAATAACTTTCAATGTTTCATAAAGAGTTGGTCTATTTGATGATAAGTAACGATGAATTATATTATTTAATAATAAACGATGTTTTAAAAGAAAAGACATAGAAAAAAATAAAATAAATAATTATTTTACCATTCTATGTTTCAGTATGAATATCGTAGTAATATTGGACTTCGATCATTCTTTTTTCTTCTTTTTCATTTGAAATAGACGATAGTTTGCCACGTGGTATTTTTTTTCGTTCTTAAAGTATAGAAAGACAAAAAACCATCAACCACATATATTGCGTTTGATTAGTCATTCTTTGCTATCAACACAAACGCTTGTGTAAGTAAAGTTTGTTGAAGAAGTTCAAATTATAATAAATATATTAATAAAAAACGTTTCACTTCAGCGTTTACGATCTTGTTTTAAAAACATGTTAACTCTTAACAAAGATGAATCGTTGATGAGCTTCTGAAAACAATCTTTCTTTATAAAATATTACAGTTGATTGCTATTCATTCATATCTTCACTCATTCCAAGACATGTAAGAGATATAGATGATCTTATTTTTTCTCAATAGAATAGTTTTATGAATTGAGATGTACAAACCATTTTTGTCTTAGTCATCATCACGTATCACTTTCACTATCACTATTCTTCTATTTTGTTCTATTCTCTTTCTCTATACACAGCGTGTATGATTATTTTTACTCTTCCCTACCATGACTATAGGTAAATGTCATGGTTGAATAAATCTGATATCAAGTACAACTACAAGCAATCATATCATTGTAAATTTTTTTAAATTTCATTTTGTAGAAAATCGACTCTAAATAAGCGAAAGTATTTTCATACGATAGAGTTGTGTGTTCATTATTTTATTTCATAGTAAAAATATATTGTCAATATCAAATAAAATAAACTCCGAATTTCTAAGAATATTCATATGAGCATCATTAGAATATTCTTCAGTGAAAAAGAAAAAGAAAAATTAAAATATAAAAAAGGAAAAACAAAGCAACTGATAGATAAAATATGCGGTATTAACTAAATGGTTAAAAAGTATTAATGCTCTGTTTTTTATTATGAATAAATGAATAGTCTTAGGAAAACAGGTTTATCCTTTTGATTTATCAATACAACGAGTATCAGAAGAATACTAACCATTAGAAGGAGGAGAACGACAAAGACTAGAAGAATACTGAACATCGGAGTTACAATTATTAACCAAACATAAACGATGAGATTTCGTAAGATTTTTCTAGAGAAGTCTCTTGATAAGTTGTTCACCAGTATCGACAGATGTATCTTCATTAAAATCATCATTAATGAAGCGAGCCTTGCATATGGTTGAATATACTATTAACGCATTGGCATTAACCATATTGTAGTTATTTATATTGAATGAAAAAATAATTATTGTGTGGTAGTATCAATTTTGCAAGGATACTCTCAGTCTTATATAGTCACCACGAAGGTGGAGGAGAAAGGGAGAGTAATGAAAATATATCGATTTTTCTTTTTCAATACGAAGCAAGACATTTTAATTAGATAAAAAAGATTGATCTAGAAGGTTGTTCAAATATGATGGCCTTGTTTTCTCTATATAAAGACAGAGAGTACCCTTGTTGTTTATATTAACATTATTCTACACACAAAAACAATCACAATATAAAAATATTGCTTTATATCGATAAAATTTTTCATTGAGATCTATGTTTAAAGATCTATCAATCGAATATTCAGATTGATCATTATAAAATTAACTCATATGTAATGAAAAAGAAAAGTGTCCTTAATATGAAAGTAGCTCATGTGTAGCGAAAACGAAGGACACATACAAAAAAAATGTTCAATGAATAAAATCATTTTGCATTTACTAGCAGTCGATAATTCGCTTAAAATGTAAATTAAAAAAAGAGAATATGATAAACTTTATTTCTTGTATATAAAAAAGTTAACGAAAGTGACAAAAAAAGCCATTATAAAAATGATAAATAGTAAAAAATATTGATTTATTTACAAAATTGTTTCTTCAATTGTTAATTTTTGTAATAATAGTATAATATCTTCACTTATATTTAGAAAATCAATATCATTTCTTTGACGTCCTTCTTCAAAACAAATACGAAGAATATCATTGAAATAATCGTGCATTAACGAATCTTCTTTCTCTTCCCATGGCATTGTCATGAGTCTAGCAGCAAATACATCATATTCATCTATTTTATGTGGTCTTAACACTAGTTCCCATTCATCTGTAGCTTCAGATTCTTGTGTTAATATTATAAACGATGGTGTGTTTTGTATAAAACGGCTAAGTACCCATGCCCAGTATCGATATCGTTTTTGCCCTAGATAATACTGAACTATCTCGATAAATATGCAAACACTTATATCGACTCTTGCTTCACCAACAAACACTTTTTTCGATGTTTTAAATTTTAAGACCACATCATCTAATGTTAGTTGACCTTTATTGAAGAATCTTTGTAGTGCCTTTTGCATTGCGATACTAAGTAAACCTTGTGTTGGTGGTACTCCTTGTTTTATTCGACCATGTAAAAGAGGTGTAGCAAACAACCATGGTAAACTTAGAATTGGTGCCTCTTCTCGTGCATGTTGTCTACCATAACAAGTACAATAACAAGCAACAGCAATAGCTTGTTGCCGTTTTCTACATGTACCACATAACATCGATATCGATGTATCATCATGACAGTTGTATCCTTCACAATAAATAGTTTGTTCAAAAAAGAAGCGAGCTCTTGTTCGTGTAACAAGTTGTTCAAGTTCTGTATAAGCAGTATCTTCAAGTTCACCAGTTATGCCATTAATCGAATTGCGACACCATAAATCACTTTCATGTGATAAACCATAAATATTAAGAATTTCAAAGATTTCTTGTCGATAAACTGAAACTAATTTATCAGCAAACTGAACACAATTTTGGTACGCAGGATGATCTTGATCAACATCATTCAAAAGAGTTGAATCTAGATTGATATCGTTCTTTCCATCATTATCTTCTACTTCTTCCTGTTCGTCTTCTTCTTCTTCAGGTTCATCACCTGTTCGGACCTGTAAATGGCGTAAGTGTCGATGATATCGTACAAGTCGATTCCATTCAGGTAATGTTTTCTTCGAAGAACGATATAGTTTTCCTAAATAGTTAATAGAGAATAATAAAGCAATAATGAAAAAAAGAAAACAAATATTATTCTATTATACCAAGGATATGTTCGGATCTGTAACGATCAAAATTAGCATTATTCATATAATCAGGTCGTTTACTGTCTAAAGCAAGATTTAATTTTCTGATAGCATCTTCTTTCAATGGATGATAACCAGTTTTACCACTATCAACTTCTTGACTAATTGCACCAGCTAATTCAATTGTTGATAAAACATCATTTGCTGTTTGATTCTCACAATCAACACCAAATTTATCAGCAAATGCTAAATGTAAATTTGAAAGTTTTCCTAAACAATCTTGTTCAGCTATTTCAAGTATAGTATTATTGATATCCTTTCTTGTTACTAATTCTTTACAGTCTCGATTAGGTATCTTTGGATCATAATCATATGGTTGTGCATTATTAGTTCGATTTGGAACAAGATCTTCATGCCAAATAACTAAATATTCATCACCATCTAAATCTGATCCACTTATATCATGTGGAGCTGGACGATCACCTTGCTGTGAAAAGACAATAACATCTTTTAAATGTCTTAATTGTGGATACTCAACAGCAGTAAATGTTCGTATATCACCTGGATGATAACATGGATTTTTTGTAATAACAACTTGACGATTGTTTAGAATTTCAGTTTGATTTTTATTCCTGTTCATATGGTGATTATTTTGATCTTTATCCATGAGAGTATATTGAACAAAGACTTCATTTGGTTTAAGAACATTATATTCATCAACAATTCCCATCATATTTCGTCCTTGATCTCGTGGAATACGAATTCGTGTTCGTTGAAGTAAATCTCGTGTTGATTGTAAACATGCACTAATAAGTAATTGTCGAAAGAATGGTTCACGAACGAAATCAATGTTTGCAATATGTATATCTCTAGGTAAAAACCATGATGGTATTTTTTCAAGAATAAGTTTTTCTGCATCGGAATTTCTAAGAAGAGCACGAATAAGATCAAGATGATTTTGTTGTTGCAGTATAAGGAATATAGTATCGGGTATTCGTCGATAAGATAAAAGAAGAATAGCTTGTCGATTAAGATATAATGGTCGTGGTGCGGATAATTTACATACTTCAAAACATTGATGATCACTTTGAAATTTTGTCATACTTTGTCGAATATATAAATCGATATTATTTGATAATGTTGTATCGAGACTAACAACACCTTTAGTACCAGCATAACGGAATTGAACAGCACTAAAGTCATTTCGCATACGTAAGGCGTCTTTGATCTATGCAATATAGAAAAAGAAAATGTCTTATCAAAATGAAGAAAATACATATGGTACTTTAATAACAAATTTAGAAAAACTGAGCATCGTATTATTCTGATATCGCAACTGATGATTTCTGCTATGAATTACTGTATGACATCAAACTGTGTCATGAAATCAATAAATCGTATCAATCAATTTACATATTACAAAGTTCTCTTCAGAAAATATTTAGCTAACTTCTCTGTGCAAAAAAGAAACTATGTAATTATCAATCACGAAAAGTTCACAGTAACTCTATTTTACACATTTCACACCTATTATTACTCACTTGATTACGTAATTTTTCTGACATTTTACCACAACCATCTGTGAATGATAACACTTTACCATTATTATTAACTTCAATATCTTCTGCTCGTAAAATAACATTTTTTGATGGTACCTAGTAAATGTAAAAATATCATTAATATAAATAATATAAATAAAATCGCATATCTACATCAATAGTTGCTTTAGTAGTTGAAAAACATAAAGCCATACGAGCCGCATATTTTGCTGGGTTTCTTTCATTGTCAAAATTACCCATCCATCTATATGCTTCAGCAAAATTTAAATTAATACCATCTATATTATGATGATAAAACCAAAATTGTCTTTGTCGTAGTTGTGATTGAGAATGATGTAAATATT